AAACACTCACTTTCCCATATCAAATTAGATTGATTGATTGGGTAAAATATGGTGTCACAGCCTGATATTAAATGAGAAGAACTGTATTTATCATCATTATCATTCAAACAAAGACAACTTTATGTGTAATACTAAAAATGTGTTACCAAGAAGAAAAGATAACAAACGATGAAGATGATAAAAGAGAAAAATAAGAAAAATAAATAGAAGCAAAGATTTAACACAGTTGACACACAAGAGACGATACACAAACTGCGTCTTGCCCTTTACCAGCTGCCTGTTGACCAATGAGATAAATAACAATAGTAATAATGTCCACCCATTAATAATACATTGCTGAAGGAAGTATACCAGTAGTCTTGAAATGCCTTAAATGCCTCTAGAACCTGATCCATGGTTTTCTCAGAAGAGGCAGTGGTTATCTATCGAAGCGTTAACTCAATCCAACGTTATTTGAATGATATGATCCCATCTCAGTGTAGTACAGGATCTACCAAGCCATAGTTGACGGTATTACGATAAACACGCAGACACGCATGCACGCACACATGGTCACGCCATTTCCAATTCCCTCACCACAGAGCAATGGAGGACAAAAGGATAAATAAAATACCCGTGTACAGGCAAATCACCATAAGTATTTTCACCATTCATGTAAAATATTGTACCTGTATTAGTAAGAGCATAAAAAACAGTGCAGATGTTTTTAATCTCCCTTCTTGTCAAACGTTCGTATATCCTCCTTCATCTGTGAGTTACTTCCCTCCTTTACTCTGCCACAAGACATACAGAATATAGTATACAATTCCTTTATGTAAGTCCGCCGATGTGGTTCAGCTCGTATTATCCTCCCTACTATGGCTTTACGGGACTACCTAAACCAAGCCCCCTCCCCCCAATGATACTACAGTACCTAAACCAAGCCTCCTCTCCTTCCCCTAACAGGACCACCTAAACCAAGCCCCCTCCCCAACTCTCACCTACTGAAAATCACTATTATTAAGCAGAAAATTGATGGTTCTCTACATGATATAATTTCATAGTACGAGGAAGAGTTTTCAATGACAGTAATTAAATTTCAGGGGATATTTTTTCTTCAAAGTATTCACATACATTGTATAAGAATGTTCAATAGCATGACATTTATGAAGTGCCATAAATGACTGTACATTTTAGTGATACATTTCTTTTACTTAATCTTTTCTTGAATCCTTGTTTGTGTCTTTTTCCTTGTGTATTCTGGTTAATTTCCGAAGCCAAAGTCAGCTTACGGGTCTCCAACACGGGTAAATTTGTTAAGGTGTAGAAGCTGTCACCAACACAACAACCACTTAAAAAAAAAAAGAAAAAAAAGAATAAAAGTGAAATGTGTAACTCATTGCCAAAAATTTCTCCTCCAAAACTGACCAACAACCAACTGCACCGGGTATCTATAACTGAACACAGGAGGACAACATGCCAACTGAACACAATCTGTTCACTGATTAACAAACAGGACCTCATTTACTGCCAGGTATACAAAAAAAAACAATGACATCAGGAACTTGTTTGTCGTTGTTCAATGACTGGGAACCAAATCCAGGGCTTTGTGCTTACCACCTTACCATGAGTCCTGTAAACTAAACCTAAAAAATTCTCCAAAAATATCCATGAGGTGTGAGGTTATCAAATGCAGTGTGAATGAAACCCCTTTAATAGCCGACTGTCAATAAACACACTATAGAACTGCATGTACACCTTCAGAGATAAGTTGTGATGGTTTGTAAACATTTAGCAGAAAAGGACTGTATAAATTTAATGTACGGTTCCTATTATTTGCTCTATACAGTATTAAAACGTATCTTTGAGAAGTTACCGTAACTTCCCAGCAACTATGAAGACTGTCAGTTAGAGTCAAAGGTCAAAATACTGAGATTAAAAACAGGGAGAGACACAAGGACTCCAATACAAAACAAAAAAACGAAAAAAAATCTTCATGACATCCAATTAACATTAATAAACATGAAACATTTTCTACAAGTACATTACACCAGTAGTAACAACAATACCATAATAAAGAAGGTATGACCACCAATTTGTATTCCTGGAAACTGTATTCAATTGGTAGATCTCGTCTTATCACACATTGAACCCGAAACATGGCAGCAGCGACCAACATTCTCTATAGCTCAAGTACTGATGTATTCCAAGGCAAGAACTGACCAAGGCCTAATACTGTACTGTACCTGATCTCTTCTGTAGTACTATAGACAAACCCAGAGGCATCACCTTCATGTACTGTACAATGCATAACAATAACAATAATACACATGTTATATACAATTGGCGCCCACTTAACATACACGATGCATGTCTGAAAACCTGTACATTAACTAATTTCTCATAAAAGATTGAGATATATCCCAGAATATGTCCAGTTTTTTTTTTTAATCCCAAGTTGCCTCTAATAATGACAGACTAGTGAAACATGAACACAGACACTTAAACAGAGAACCAGTATATCAAGGGAATGTTATCACGTACTGTATAAAAGAGGCAAGAGTGATAATTTGGAAGTGAAATAGAGGCATTAAGGTATTTTGAAATGGGGGAATGAAGTATGGATATCTCTGTAGCTTTAGGCTCAACTTATTAATGTAATTTCTGACACTTTAACATTTTTCCATATAATTTTTCTTTCTGGTTTGTAAAAAAAAAAAGCTTGTGCAATGTCTATAAATCTTGAAGTTTTTTTACATTCTCCTACTCATTTATTCAATTTCTTTTTTTCCTCAATATATTTCTCTCCCTAAAAGATTTGTTCCAAGTTTTGTGAGTTTGAAGTGAAATACAGTACCATTTACACGAGAAAAACATCATAAAAACCTATATGAATGAAAACCCAACTTGGTGCAGTAGCAGGATGACTGAGACACATTCCACAACATTCTCATCCTAATTTTATTTGACTTCATACCAACACTTGCTATTTTTACCTCCTGAATTATTCCTTCCAGGTCCACAGTTAGATGTTCTGATCATTTTTCTGTTTCTTACCTTTAATTATCACATCCACTTGAGGGGGAGTTACAGATGAGAAGAGATGTTATTGCTTGGAAGTAGAATGATGGCTCTCAGTGTAGTTTAAATTTCTCATCAAAAGTAATATTTGGTCACAATATAAAATACCCTGTGCTGTACAGTGTATACGCGACCAACTGTGACCACGCAAAACTACCAGATCAAAACAAAAACATAGGAAGTACAACATGCAAAGAGGGTCTGTGACCACACAGCAGTGGATAGGTCCATCACAGGTCCAATGTACACATCATCGAACATCTGTGTGTAACATTGAACAACTAGTACCATTACAAAAAGTATGTATCCCTGAGAGTACATTAAGCGGGCGGTGACTGTTTAGTACAGTACTCTTTCATAATAAAGTAGAAGTAGGATAAATGGAAGTTTATGGGGACTATGTCGGTCTGGACGTGAAGGTAATATTCCCTTTCACAGAGTACAGTATGTGTGAATGTCAACAGTTAAAATACATAAACAGATAATCAACTGCAGTGTATTTGTAATAAACTCAGTCAGGTTTTATGTTCATATTTCCATTCTTCCACTTACCTGGTTCTGTGACACAAGCCAACGTTGTACACAAGGGAGCTACAGTACTCCGAGTTGAAGCATTAGATAACCTACGTACACATGATACATGGAGAAATGTTCCAAAAGACACATGCATGGGTGCAGGTCAAGTAATGTGGCTTTGATGCCTGGCCGAGTACAAGGATAGTACATTAAAACATATAATGTATCTTACTTGTGTATCTGACTAATCTATCTGTACCCAGGATTACAGTCAAAGCATAGATAAATGGCAGCCCTTCCTATTTTCTGCTGCACTGTGATAAAAAAAGAAGTTGGTACTGTACTGCATATCTCTTTCCTTCCTAAGTCTCAATACCTTCCTCTTAAAATACAGTGACCTTAATTTGGCTATAGTGATCACCAACTACCTTATGTTCCTAAAGCCACAGAGCTAAGAGTCACTCACACCTGAAGAAATACTGTAGTACTACTCTTGATAAAAGTTCCCAGACACAACCCTGTTCAAAAGACAACCATAATATTGTTCTAGGTATCTTAAACATCTTCCCTTTACCTAATCTCTACTCTTCAAATCTTAAAAGTCCAAATAAATAAATAAAAGATTGACAGAAAGATAAAGAGATACTTATTTAAGTCCACATTAATGGACAGACACAGACAAATATACTGACAAATAAATTAAAATACAAATACTGGCAATGATCTAAGAAAGAATTAAGAGGAAAATTTATGTGTACTGAACAATATTTTACAATCCAGTGTCAACCATACACATATCTTTCTTCACATTCCCCAAAACATGTGGTAATAATTTGCTTCAAGACTATAGTTGGCCTCGGTAGTTGCTGCAGTAGTAGACCCTTCAAGTGGCTATGAAGGTTATTCATATTTCATTTAATAATCCATTTCTGAAACCATCTCTTATTCAGTCCTCATTGCCTCAACATTGACAATCCCTACTCTAAGTACTTTTGTTGTCGTCTCAGCTTGTAAACCTACCTACTGTACTATATTCAGTGATCAACCTTATTCTATTGCTTACTTCATAGGGTTCACTTAACTGTAAATTAATAATGATCCTTTTGCTCCTGCATTATGAGCTTGCAATTCCAAGTATTTTATATCGATCAGCAATATCATGGCAAGGATACATGATTCTCAAACCTACCATATTCTCGTCCATTTCCTTCTTGCTGAACTAAGAGCCTGATGAACTACTGCACAACATATAGAATAAGAGAGTAGAATGGACTTCTCAAGCTGTGGTGTGCAGATATCAAAATATAATTAATAATCTATTGGAAGTACCGTATTCTTATAAAAAAACTTCTGGGGCTGGGTACAGATAGATAGTCTTAAGACACTTATCTACAATGATATCAATCAAACATAATCACACTTACCACTTGTTGAAGACCTCTGTGGTGGGGGTTGAGACCTTCCTGCTGTGAGAAGCCCTGCAGGTGGAAAGACGTTGCCATGTCTCCCTCTCTTCGACTCCCATCCCAACTCTGACCAGCATCCTGAAGGTGATACAATTCTTAATGCTACTGGATTTTATGAGAACCTTCAAATATAAGCAATGCCTGAAAATCATCCCTCTAGATTATTACTTATACCTGATGACTAAGCATCCTAACACTACCTGTGGGGGAGGGGACGAGTTAGGTTAGAGTTATGGTGTTAAATCATCATGTAAAATAAGCTGGGTGATCCAAAAATAATATACAGTAATGTGAATAATAAGACTTTCCTCCCTCCTTTAAAGAACCCAGTACAGAACACAGAATAGGAGCAAACTGTTCAATGTCTTTCAAAATGTGGAAAGAAAAAATTGGAAATGACTAAGATATTGAGAAAGGTGAGGTGTGAGTCAAATAAAATGACATTATTAAAAGCCAAAATTTTGAAAATCAAATCCAAGTGACTATTAAGTGTAACAATACATTGAACCAAGAATGTGTTAACTATGATGGCGTCAATGAAGGAACTATAAAATGGAACTGAAAAACCATTCTGTTTGCCCATAAAGAAAATATGTGAAATTCGGGACATTGTATATACTGTATCAGGTAAAATGGTTCTGTCCTTAAAGTAAAACTGAAGGCAGTGTTGGTCCTAGTCTTAAAACCTAATGATACATATATCAATCTATGATCAGGTTGCTTTTTTAATTATCCACAAGAAAAACATAATACAGTATTACTAACTGCCTGCATTCCTGATGGTCCCGGTAAGGCCTGAGAGACTATTTCTTCAAAGGACTGAGGGTGAGTGGAGTACTGCTGGGAGACGGACGGCAGAAGAGAGGACCCTCCAGCGTTCCCCGGTAGGTTCACTTCATACTTGATCCCCGGCGTCCCCTGTGAGGACCCGTCTGACTCCACCATTTGAACCTCCAAGGCACTACAAGTGTCAGGTAGGTGCATAACGTCATCATCTTCGTATTTCATGTTCTCTTCTTTTATGACGGGATTATCCACTACGGTCTGCTAAAACAAATAAAAATATCAGCAATTATCAATAATGATCAGTTGGGAGAGCAAAAATTCATCAATACTGTAGTGTGTTTCATCATAAAAGGTCCTTAACACTCAGGGAAGGAGTGGTGGAGGCTCAGGATTACAACACAAAGATATATTTTGATCAAGGACAGTGGTCAACATACTGTGGCAAAGTTAATTTACAAGACAGACATTATACTCCATATATGTACTCCTTCAATCACATAATTTTTCCCATAAAACACACACACACACACACACAATGTAAACTGATAAACAAAGTGTACCTTTTCTTGTTGACTATTTTCACTGGAAACATGTGGAGACTCTTCCCTGGTCAGTTCAGTAGTGGTATTTGGTTGTTGCTCTTGTGCTTGTTGGACACTTGGTTCCGGTGCTGTATTTTCCTTTGTGTTGTTTTCACTGGTCTCTGTTTGGTCTTCTGTTGCTGCTCCTTCGACGGGTCCCTCAGACTGTGGCCGTGAATTACTCTTTTTTCTGGGCGGACTCGAGTTGCTGCTGGTGGAGTCGTCTTCGTACCTTCTTCTCTTTGTCTGCGTCTGAGGGCTTCCTTCATCCCAGTTCTTGACAGGAGTTTGTGGGGTTCCTCCAGGGGGCGGCGGCGGGGGCGGGGATTCGTCGGGCACGGCTAAACCTTTTATTCTCAAACACTCCGCGGCTTTGATGAGACCTCCTAGCTCGGTCTGAAGTACATTAACCTCGCCTAAGTACATGTAATTTAAGAGTGCCTCTAAATCCTGATGACGTATATCTTTGAGCACAATGATCGGATGTTTACACGGGGTCTTCTCCATGATGTCCACGAAGTATTCACTGCATGTTGAGAGAACAAACTTGTGAACACTGTAGAACTTGCCTCCACAAGCAAGTGTGACGTCACTGTAGGTTTGCTGCAACAGAAACAAACTTTATACAATTACCTTTAGATAAGGAGAATTTACCGGTAATCGCTTCTGTATATTTAAATACTGATAATTCATTTTATACATATATAAGTTTAGGATACAATACATTTGTTTATTCTGATATTCTGTCATGACCTAATTTTGATCACCTGAAGATAAGCTCCCCCAGCTAATTTAACTTGAAGATTAAACACCCTAATGCTACTTGTGGGGGTTAGGTTAGGTTACTATTAGGCTCATTAATGTTCAGGTACAACATTCATCAGTATCATTAACACAAACCTTATCTTTCAGTGAAGACAACACTTGCAAGAAGGAAGTACGATGATTGTTCCATCGGAGTGAGAGTAGTCCATCGCCTGCCATGTCTGCTGAGCGAGTGTGTGGACGAGGACAACAACCTGTGAAGAGTACTGTATTAAGTTTATGAGAGATGATCACCATACAATTATTATACACTGGCAGTGACATAGAAGCTGTTTCATATGTTAATTTGTAATGTTTTCTTTTTTTATTTAACCCTCACCATTCTATGCATTTAACAAAAGAGAGTTGCAAAGATTTTAACAGAGAGAAAAAAAAAAGGACAATATTCTAGCTCAAACATTAACTCGTTTTTCTAATAACCTGTACAGTATATTTTTCAGTATTAATAAACACTGCACTACTGTACTTGCTAAATTCCTAACACTCAGGTAGCTGCTATTGTAAACACTGATATGGATGACTAACTGAAGCATGTTAATATATGTTAAAATTTAGTATAATTCACATTAATAATACTTTGCTTTATCTGGGATTCCAATAAAATATTTCTCTTTTAAATCAGTAGAGCAAATCTTGTCACAGGATTCACCAGATATAGGATGAATCAATCAATCCAAAGTGTGCTTAAGGTTACAAAGGTTTAGGTTAGGATGGTTTAGGTTAGGTTAAGTTAGGTTGGGTGAAATTAAGCTAGATTAAATTAGATTGGTTGGGTTAAGTTAGTTTGGTTAAATTCAGTTAAGATTAGGTTGGTTAGGTTAAATAGTAGGGTGGGTAGGTTAGGTTAGGTTAGGTGAAATAGTAGGGTAGGTAGGTAGGTTATGTTGGTTCATCATACTTCCAATAAATCACATAATGTCGCAGTCACTGATAACTTTTTCACGTCAATAATGAAGATCACTTGGCCTGATTGACATAGATTATAGTTCAAGAAAAAAAAAATAGTAATAATAATAATAAAAACATCAATTTCTTATAATTTGGGGAGATTTTCTTGAAGTAAGGAAAATTTATCTTTTATACACTGTCTAAAATTACTGATTAACCCACAGCACTATTCTAAAGTATTAACACTGCTTCACATACTATATAACAAATATTTATACAAAGATACAAAAAAAACTAACATTAAAACTAAGAAATACACTACACTAAGCCATTACCAAGACCCACCCAATAACCACATAATCATCTCCACTTCTCATGAACCCAACTATATATAATTCCTACCTTAGGGTCTTAATTCTATACCTTCATCTTATACCTGAGTAAAATATAAACTGTTGTGTAGTTATAAGTGATCAGTCTGAGGGATAGGGACCAAGACACATTAACTGTTCTTCCCTCTAACTACTAACACTTTATACTATTAAACCTCCTGTATATTCTAAGGCTACAGTCGCTATATTACTACATTCTTCTGCTCTATAACATGATAAACTACATCTAAGGGTAATATAAGAGATATAATGAGGAGTGAGGGAGATATTGGTTCTCACTTACGTGTAGTAAACAAGCCTCTATTACAGGGATCACGATGATAAAGACAAGCTGGGATATATATTTTGTTTTTATGTTATATGTAAATATATATCATGAAAACGATATAAAATTAAATACAGTATATAATTTTACCTAATAATTGAAATTTGTAGAATATATAATTATGATATTATTTATATTCATCACCTCTCAGATTTTGTATTTCGAGAAAAACAAACTAAATAAAGTAGAGGAACCTTAAATAATATGTATGTTCATGTTTAGATGATGAATTTCTTACCTGTATATGTAATTTGAAACTTTATATAAAAATCCCATTGTAGTGGATTTCTCCCCTACAAACGCTGAGTAGCCGACCCGTGAATGCCCCAGTGTATGCCTCGTGGTCTAGGTCAACCAGGGCCGCCATACATCACGGAGGTCAACTATTAAGCAACGCATACCCCCGCTATATAAGACCTGACCTCGTGGTGACCTATCTCGCTCCTCTTCTAGCTACAGCTCGCTTCTTCTCGCAATGGCCCGAGAACTTCAGCTTGTTGTCAACATACTGTACACACCTAGGTCCTTTTCACATTCAGTCTCAATTAATGCAGTTTCTTCATCCCGTTGGGACATATAATATGTCTCCTTACCGTTGGCATGTCCCAGGTGTACCCTCTTACCCTTTGTGACGAATATTAGCAGCCATTTCTTCAACCATTCTTGAAGCTCACAGAGATCCTTCTGCAGCTCTTCACAGTCTGCTTGGTTCTTAATTTCCTGAAATAACTTGGCATCATTAGTAGATACAGGCACCTCCACCCCATGTCTTCTCACAGGGGACCATACACAGTAGAGTCTCATAGGGTGGTGTTCTTAGCCCTTTTCTATTCAGTATCTCGAGTAACTAAGTAGAGCCTCAAGGTTTTAGGGTATAACAAATCTGGGGGAGTTGTTTTAGGAGGGGAAGTAAGGAATGACAATATTTTATGGTTATTAATGGTTGTGATGATAGATGCTGAAGGTTGTAATGTACAGTATATCCTTATGCACTGTTTACTGTCCCTCTTCCTTATGCATGGTAAGTAGATGATACTGGCATCTCTCCAACTTGCCAAAAGACCTTCAGTGCTTCCTCACCTTCTTCTGTCTCTCACTTAAGGTCTTCCCTCTCCAGAAAAAGTAGACTTTTCTCTCCATACAACTTATAGAATCACCAGAATTTACCACAAGAAGGATTTATCATTTTGAGTAACTATGAGGACACTTTCTCTGGGTACTCTAATCACACCTACAGTACAGTATATGACAACATGTTCTTCCTGTCTCATGATCTCCTGAATACACTAGATCACTCTGCAAGTTCCCATTAAACGAAAGGGCCAGGTTCCACTACAACGTTACGTGGATTATGTTCATCGAAACCATTTTTCCCATATAAATTAAAGTAATAAGGGGGTGTGTGTTCCTGTGTGATAGAATACTGTAATATTAAGCTCTGTAACAAAATAATTGTAACACATCAAAATGCTGTAGTTTAAAACAATAAAACATGCTAAATCATAGAGGTACAAATAGTGTTAATGTACTCACCAAATGAACTTGAACTTTAGTTAGCTATTGCTGGAGGCAGGATCATCTACCTGTTCTATATATCTATCTATTGAATATAAAATCACACCTCAAACTCAGTATAATGACTTACATGGCCTCAAGTATAAAAAAAATAAATGAATTCAAGAACATATCCGAGATGTATTTAGGGAACAAATTATTGACACATCTGTAGTGGAAGATAATGCATTGAAGTGGCAAATGGAATCACTCACAATATCTGTAAGTGAAAAACTGGTACAGGTGTGTATCAAGGTCTTTTATAGCTAACAACTGTAATAACACAAATTAATTTAATCTTTCTGATGCAAAATATAACTTGCCATGTTCAACTTTCTTTTGAAAGACTTAGAGCAAATGTGAATTAACCATAGTTGTAATCGCCCTTAAGGCAATCATGCAATCACGGAGTAAGTAGACCCAGATACGATGACTCGATAAAATAATTCGGTCAAACATGTCAAAGACAATTATTACAACATTAGTAAACATTTGATATAACATTCTTTAACCTAATGAACTTAGCACGATAATACAACTACAGTGGGATATTAAGAGCATCCCTTAACATAATGTAATTCACACAATAATATGCTGGTAGTATCTCATATATGCACTAATGTTCCGTAAACAGACTTACGTATTTTGGGGTCTTAGAGGTGTAGGGTGTTCCCTATACGCCTTCAAAGTGTGTTCTGAGACCTCCTAGCAGGGCGATGAGTGTATGGCATCTGGTTCATATTGACAGATAAGCACAGTCAGAGTCTTCACCATATCAACACCTGCCAAGTCCCTCGCCTCACTCCTATGATACATCCTACCTACTAACTTCGCTACCCAGTAATCGCCGAAACTTAAATATTTCCTGGTTCTTTTTATTGGCAGTAACAATAGTGATAAATGAGTGTTTTCTGATGGTGAAAAAAATACATACATGCAAGAGCCGGAGTTTTCATTCTGTATGTATGAGCAATAATTCTTGACAAAATATTACATATTAAAACTACTGTACATCCCTAGCCCTTTTTTTTTACGGGGATTAGCCCACCCGGGCACAGGTCACTGACCCACATCGGGGCCCGGGGATGAAAATGCAATAATATTAATAATAATAATTCATAGTAAATAAGAATTTTAATAAAAAATACAAATATAAAAATGAAAAAAAGATCAAAAGTGAGAAACAATATATGTATGTTGTGTTGTCAATAGTAAGAGAAACAATTGAGACCCTGTAATTGTGTGTAAATGAGGCAGAAAGTCAGATCATCAACCTGGGACTTGGTCATAATTTTCGTGATGCCATATGGCAGCAGGGTCTACCATTAGACAACACATTATGCCTGTGTTTCTCCATCCCCATAAACTACTTAAAATAAAAATAAATTTTTTAATTATCAAGGTTATTAAATTTCTGGGTTGAAACAAGTAGAAGTGATTTAGGAGTTCGATTGATAGACTCTTCAGGATGTCTATAGTTAGTATACTGTATATTATAAAGGATAAAATAATTTCATTGGTTATTCTTTTAACTCCAACTTTGACTTAAATCTTTACACACAAGATAAAATGAAAGGCTGACAAAATGCAATACAATACAATACTGTGCACTCCTGCTTATATGGTTCAATGGACTCCGTCTCAGAGACAACAAGTGTGGGACCAAAACATGTGTGTGATTGCGATTATAACAGCAGGACAATAATGTTTGGTCCGTCTTTAAACTTGATCCAACACTTGCCACTGTTTGTGATTACATGGAATAATGACAAATAAAATACATACAGGTACCGTACAACAAAAATCATGTTTATTTCTAAAATCATTTATTCACTTTGAGACACTCATATAAAACACTACTAATACAAAATATAGTACAGTAAACAAAATACTTCAACAGCTTCACTGTCACACTCACATTACATCTAGAGTAATGGAGGTAAATAAAATGTCCCATAAGCCTGACAACCCATTAAGAGCAATAAGGATGCAACAATACCTACTAGCCTTTGGTACACAAGGAGGCAATATGACTGACACTTAACTTTAATACCCACACTTCCCTAACTGTAAAATTAGTTACTCATTCACATTTGGGTGAACTGGAAGTAAGGAAAAAGGTGACATATTTTCAATGTTGTGAAACAGTTTCACTACGGTATGGATTTCAATCTGGTGTGGGCAGTAATTCTGATATCATAAATTCAATTGAACACACAACACTGTTTGGCCAAAACATCCTGCCCTCACCTTGTCTCCAGTACTGTGTGTTACTGTTGAGCAAAAAAGGTAGTCTCGTTTATGCTTGTGGGGTTAGAGGCACACCATCTTATTAACTAAATAACAGAGGGAGAGATCTTCTTTTAAGAAACCTTCCAAGACTTCTGATATGACAGAAGTCCCACTTAGAACTATTTTGAGGTAAGGAAATCCATGACACTGGTCCACAGCAAACACATTAAGTTTGTCTCCTAGACTAGGTGCACAATGGTCAGCTTGCAGTACTGTATCCATCATAGCATAATGAAAAATGTAGTAAAAATTATCACCACAAGGGCTCAGGCCAGGGTGTTTTTACTGCTGGCTGGAGAAGACGACATGAGAATGAAGTGGTGCGTGTAGTGACATTAGGTGTTGATGCGATTTGGTGTGCGTTTTTGTGTGTGTGTGTGTGGGGGGGGTGATGCGAGTTATATGTTGTAGGACCAAAGAAAAAATAACCTCTGTAAAAAAAAGATAAATATAATTTGATGAAAAATAATGTATTAATTAACCAGCACTCTAATATATCTTGGTGTCTCTCAGTGAACATGTCTGTACTCTACTGGAATGTATTTACTGAACTGCCGATAAGAAATTATTTGGGGTGTTGGTGGTACAGCAGTAACGGGTTTGATCCTTGGCCCAGACACAAGTGAGAAGGGTAGACCAACCGCCTGAATGGCTAATAAGCTGATAAGTGGCAAAACAAAATAAATAAATAAATTAAATAAAATAAAATTAAAAATAAAACTCCTAGGTTACTGCTACTATATCTGGGAGTATGAGCAAGTGAGTAAATGGTCTGCCTATGAAAAAAAGAAAAGAAAAGACAATGTAAAAGTGGAAACTCAAGTGTGCCAAGTTTGAGAGGAGACAACATTCTTTACCATTTTGAATACTTGTATACATGTGGGAGGGTTGAACAACATTCATCTGTAGATTAAGACATAAAATTGTTTATTTCTTTGCAGAGAGTGAGATTCAGGTGTAATAAAATGTTTTTTAAATCCAGCAAAACAACATGAGTACTGTAAGATTCCCATAAGTTTGGTTTGCACAAATTTGACATACAGGAGACTTTCTAGGGTTCATAACACGTATTTCAATTGAGATCCTTTGTTCATTTGCATTCTATCATACAAATCTATGTTCCTCTATTGAAAACATCAATATGGAGGATGAAGATCACATGTACAGTGCAGTATAATCTTATCCGAATGACACTGGTTAGTACTGATGCTTGAAATGCCCAGTTATAACTTATCTCAGTAATGTCTTTAAGGATTATTTCATCCCAGTGGTTCAATGGGGATGTTCCAATCTTCCTTAATGAGGTCAGCGGCTCTCTCACCAATCATAATTGAGGGAGCGTTGAGGTTGCCAGACACTATCACTGGCATTATTGAGGCGTCGACCACACGTAACCCAGACGCTCCTCGCACTCTGTGTATAAAACATTAGTCAATTTTATATTATAATATAAGTTAACTATTTCCTCTTTTTCTAATGGTTTCTCTTTGCTTTTCCCTACACATGCTGACTTGTTAAATACAATCACCATTAAACAGCAGTTGTGTCAGTAAAAGAAACACTCCACCAACACAGTTCACCTACCTGAGTCTGTGGTCCACAACACCATAGGGGTCAGAGGAGGGAGCCATCTTACAAGTGCTGGAGGGGTGGAAGGTGGTCTGGGCCATGTGACGGGTGTAACATGCCCAGTAATCATCAGATCCATACAGCTCCTTCTCACACCCCGGCAACACCTGTGTGTAGCCAAGTAACACATGGTGACACAAGCTGAGGTACAACTCTACACAAAACACACCAGTACCGGGTAGCAATATAACCGAGAAATACCCACACTGACAAACAGCTATGGATAGTAACACGAGCAGCTGGTGATAAAATTTTAATTCCTTCACTACGGAGATGCCACTTTCAATATTTTATTTGGTTAAAACCAGACAATTTCATTCAGCTCAGAGGGGACCCGTACACAAGGGGTTAGCAAGAGGTACTGTAATACAGTACTTGCCCTGGTTGGCAAAAATAGCAGGTGGTAAAAAGAGCAAAAAATTATAAGGTAGTCCTAGACAATAACAGTGAATGCTAATCCACAATAACACTAAGTAGCACTAACACCAGAAAACATTTATCACACAATCAAGTGTTAGTTTAGCATGAGGGTGGTTAATCTTTATGTAAAATAAACTGGGTTGAAGAATATTCAGGTGATCTAATATTTATATAATTAATGCCATGAGCTGTGAAGGATGAGGACACAAACGTACCTGATCGTGGAATCTGGAGCCAAACTCATGCCTCATCGCAGTAGTGTTGCCAATTGCTAACACAAACTTTATACCTGTAATCAACCCATAAAATTTCATCCAACAGAACACAGACATGAAAAATAACCATACCAATGAGATATATAGTACACAGACCCTTGAGATATCCATAAGGTAAACCTTTGAGATGTAGTAACATATGCACAAACCTTTGATATACGAGTATACAAAGACCTCAAATATGTAGAACACCAAATTTTAAAATGTAATACATTACGTCATATAATCATGGGTGTGATGGTAACTGGTGAAAAGACAATATCATGCCTGACCTCTGACAAATGTGTTGATGTCATCAGGATGGCTGAGGAAGTTGGGGTCAATAAGTGGCCGGTCGTGGGGGTTACGTGACCTCAGCCGCACCGTCCCCCTGCTCTTGGGTCGGGTTAGCATAGGTCCTATGTTGTACCCTTCGTGACCCAGGATAGAACCATAGTACTGCTTGAAGAACTGGGGAGGGAGTGGATAGGGATGTACTGTAATTGAGGACTGAGAGTGTTGAAGTGTGGTTAGTGGAAATTAGAGTAAATTTTTTTTTAAATGGTGATGGTTACAGCATACAGGTAGTATGTGAAGGCAATGGTGGTTGTGGTAGGAGGTGATGGTGCCTGTGTGGGTAGGGGTGGCAGTGTGGGCGAGTGCATGGTTTAGGTACTGTACATGAGACATAAATACAGTCAGTAAGAGTGTTGTGGGAAGAACAGCCAGTGTTCTGAACTACAGTGACAATCTCTTCTATTTTTCAATCAGTAAGATACAACTTTAAGACTATGCAGTACTTCCCTCATTACTTTCTCAGATATTTAAAAAAATTCTGAATAAGAAAGAAAATAACAGAATTGTACATGGAATTTATCCAAACTTGAATCTAAACTCCCAATTGGAGAGAACATCATATCTAATGGAGTGTATGTCATCTGAGAGGAATATGGAAACTTACATTAGTTTTACAGAATTTACTTACCTGTATTCTGTATTGGCCTTGTCTAGGAACATAACCCTTTACACAACGAGGGGGGGGGGGGGCACCTGTAAAGTGGTTAGGGCAGACCAAACACTTTGTATTCTGGGGGAGATATGGAGCTGGACCATTTTTTTTAATATACACAAACTACAACAAACTTACATCTCTCCTGAAGCCAATTATATCATTGAAGTAGACTCCACCATCTAATGCAGGAGTGCTTGCCATGAACAGGAACTGGAGGTCAGGCCAATGCGGGTCACCTTCCTCAGCCAGGCTCCAGGCGTTTCCTTCTAAGGCCATTGGCACTGACAGAGGACCTGGCAGTGGGGACAGTTGTGAATAACACAGCTTCAGTGTATATGATCAACTTAAGTCTTGAGTTTTACAATTTAGGTTTCTTTGGGATAATCTGAAGATTCACCCCCAGCTTATTTCACATAAATATTAGCCACCCAAATGTTACATAGGTTTACAAATACTAGCAGCAACAAAAGCTCAAGAATACTGTCAGATGAGGATACAAGTCCTTGATACACATGAGGATGGACTGATACAGGTTGAGAAGGGGACAGACAAGATGAGTTTTCAGAACATTTATGCAAAAGGTCTGATTATGGCAGCTGTCCCATATGATGTGATTAGGCTCACCAGGAAGCAGGAAAGAGAGTGTGAGTGAGTGAGAGGATCATAACAGTTGAGGAAGAGGAGGAGAAGAATGAATATCATATGAAAGACAAAAGAACAATTTAATGATAAGATTCTGGATGAAAATAGACTACACTCATAAGAACATATACCACTCACTGATGCAGGTCTTGGTCTTAGGTTTCGGTCTTAGGTCTGAGTAATACGTCTCGGTCTTAGGTCTTAGGAGTATGTATTACATCACTGACATATGTACAACCAATTATGATACAGTAGGTAAAAACAAGAGAGCATCAGGATAGTTAACCTTCTCTGGTCTTGAAGTAATTCTTGATGTTTCTGGGATTCAGCCACCGGTTGAGGTTGTTGCTGGAGCCTCTTTTGGTAAGCCAGGTGAGGCCGAAGATGGATGGGTGATCTTGTAGGTTGTGGCCGACTCCAGGCAGGTCCAACACTACTGGGATCTGTGGTGAGAGGGTACAGCTCTGTAATGTTAGGAGGTAGCAACATGTTTATGGAGAAGAAAATGAATATGTGTGTCGGTGTAGGAGAGGAGGACGGGAAAGAACTGCGAGGAGAACCATCACTAACACCTCTAGGTCAGTACGGTACTCACGCCGTGTTGACGCAGATGTTCCGCTGGCCCGATGCCTGAGACCATCAACAGTTGTGGGGATCCAACGGCGCCCGCTGACAGCACCACTTCCCTCTTGGTTAGCGCTGTCCGCACCTGTACCCCAAACCACAGGAAGAGATGGTTAATTTGATACTGTGCAAGTCTATGCCAGCAACTATTAAGGTTATACTTAAGAAAGATTCATGAGAGTATGAAAAATTAACACACATCTTAACAGTGATTTAAGATGGTTAATTAAATTATTATCTTAACACCTGGGTCACTAAGGTCATCTAAGACCAAGACCAATGAGGCGGTTATCTTAAATCTGGGTTACTAGGTAGGTGACCTTAGACCTGGGCCAATATGTAGGTCATCTAAGTCAGGGTCACTAAGTCTCATGGAACCTGACCCAATAGTTAGGTGGTGAGGCCAGGATGACAAGAGTGTACAGTACAGGTGACAACATGTACCTTTCCCCGGTGTTCATAACGGACCCCAACTGCTCGTTTGTGGTCATCCATCAGTATCTGGAATGATGAAACAGATTCAGTAATAATACAATATTAATACTGATACATCTGGTAAAAGTGGTTTGTATGCTAGAAATGACATGATTAACATTATACTCAAGAGCTGTACAGGTATTTGAAAAATCATTCTTCTTAAAAGACTTACTCAAAGTATGAAAATATATTACTCACTGATAAAACTTAAAGCCTTTCTTTACATAACAAAAACATGTAAGAAACTAAATAGTTTTAAAATTAACAGAAAAATCTTCTTTACATTTTGTAAATATCCTTCACGCTAAGGAAGTGTTTGATTATAAAGTGTGATGTGGTACTGTACCATTATTCTGAAACAATAACAAGAACAGCACTGTACCAACATACTGCACACTCAACCCGTGGAATATGAATGCTTGGGTCATTAATGTTCACAGATATGAATAGGATAAATTAAGTTACAACTACCAATTTACAAACAAAAACCTTGTTGTTACAAATTTTCTTATGATTTTTCTCTGTTACCCTGTGCTACGAATATGAAAAAACTGGCCTACTTTTTACTTTTTGACTATACACATTATGAATTTTAATTTGTATATACTGTACTTCACTCGTCATATTTTGTATTTACTGTCACGTGTTCATCATGGTAAATGCTGTACAAGTGTTTACGAATGTTTTTTTCTTCAAGAATGTATTCAGTTACTAAGTCATGGGACAAGTGTACATCTCTCTCTCACACACACACACACACACACACACACTAGTGATCTTATTGTGTACCCCCATAATGTTCCAGGATGAAGGGCACACACCTGGTCATATACACACCTGAATGCACATTACACACCTGACAGTACAGTACACACCTGAGTGACATGGGCATTAGAGACAATATGGAGGTTGCTGTAGGCTAAGGCAGGTCTCAGGTAGGACTCAACCACTGACCCTCGCTCACCATTCCTCACCGTCAAATCCGCTGCGGAGAATCCTACAGAGTGGAGGGGGAATGTGTATATTATATAGTGTAGGTTACTGATAGTTGTTTAGTTAGTCACATGGCATTTTGAGGCCATGTGCACTTGATATTACGAGATATTCTGAGGTCAATAGTAATTATAAATACTGTACTATACAAAAATGCCTGAGTAAAATACTGCATTAAATAAAAAGTATTGGATTTTTTTTATGAAAAGGACCCCCCTTTCTGGATCCATACAACTGTAATTGACTCTAATATATACAGTATTCTATTATTGTTTATAATATATGGTTGAAATAATACTTTCCCATTAATTTACATTTATAGCTACAGTTCCTATATATTACTTGACTTATAGAGCATTAATTCTCTTTCCGCAAGAGTCATTTACCACACTCATCAGTCAGTTATAGGACGCTTTGTCACTGGTTCAGTATAAACCTAACCTAACATAACCTGCCTTAGCCTAACAAACCCTAACTTAACCATGACTTCATCACATCAAAAAATAGAGATATTATCTGAATTTGGTGAATATAACATGATAGTCAATAGTATGGTGAGGAATTGTCTTGTGATGGAATGTCCACTCACCCCATCAACCATTTGTCCATATAACATTGAGACAATAACACATTCTGTACCTATCTGCTCTGGTCCGTTAGGGTCCACGATATTGTATCCAAGTTCCAGCCCTGCCTTCAGGAACCCCCTACTTAACGGAGTCCGCCACCTCTTATCATCCACCACCAGGGGCCCTCCACGACCATGATACTCTGCTGGGGGTAACAAAGAGGGTGTTAGTGATAGGCAGAGCATAAGATACAGGTAACATAAGGAATGAGAAAGAGAGAAAGTGAGGGAATACTAAAGAACAGTATAAACTAACAACTTGACTCTGGGCTACACGATTTTGAATTAATTTAAAGGGCAAGTAGGGTGTGGCATCAGTGCATTGGTTAATTAAGGAAAACATATCGCAGAACTATGATATTTGCAGTAACCGATCTCTGAGTAATAACTTAAAGGGTCCTTTACTGTTAAAATCAGATATTGTCCAGGCACTGCTTTTAAATTTTGTTGAAAATACTGAAGGCACTGAGACAACAGTCTATACTTGCCATTTATTATGTAAATTTGGTTTAAAGCCCAAAGAGAGTGCTTACCCAAATATATTATCATTATCAACCACACAATGAAAAACTAGATGAACTTTATTAGCACAAGAAAAACGTAATTATCATTGACTATTTATTCATTTACTGTTTGCACGTGAAGGAGTCTGGTATATTTCACTATTGATATTGAAACAGTTTATTTAGACAGAAGAACAGATACAGAGTCGATGAAAAATCATAATATTAACATGGCTGAGCCAGTTGAGAGCCTGAGCTCTCTTGTAGACAACTGATATATACTGTACATTTATCTCAAGGGAGTGGCATTCTAACCTCGGTCCGACTAATTACCCAAATGTAGCCACAATGAGGTCAAATGATGGTCCTACAAGCGTAAATCGGGGTGTGAATCACTTCTCGATTTCTAGTATTTGGTGTCATAAAGTCACAAAAAATTGGTAAACTTAATTTAATCTGAGTTGAGTTAGGTTAGGTACATGCACTCAATCTATTAACTCACATTAAATTAAGTTTACCAATTTTTTGTGACTTTATGACACCAAATACTAGTCGAGAAGTGATTGGCAGTCCGATTTACGCTTGTAGGACCATTATTTGACTTCATTGCGGCATTTGGCTACATTTGGGTTCATTTAGGTAATTAGTCGGACCCTTCTAACCTTGTGAGTAACAGTTATACCAAAAGGTGTTGTTAAAGAATGATATGACTTTCCCAGACAAGAATGATATCGAAACAAACATTTAAGATATAGAAAATATAGATAAAGAATATTGAAATAAATAAATAAAAACATTGAAAGAAATAACACTACGTAAGAAAAGTAAAATATAGAAATAAAGTAATAAGTATACTGAAATAAAGACCGAGAAAAAGATATTAACTTAGAAAACCTAAACCAGAGAACTTGATAGGGATTTAAACTGGTTTTGTTACATCATCTGGCACCAATACCCATCAGCTGTTCTGCCCAACCTGTTGCACTGCACCACCTAACTGATACCCTATACAACTGTATATATGTTTAATCTACTTTATTCTGTTACCATGTGTGACTTAAGAATTCTTGCCACACACTTCTTAAGGTGAATTAACCGTGAGTGCCACACACCGTTAATATACCTTTGTGGCTTCCTACCATCCTCAAGGCTTCAAGATCAGGATTTGACTGTCCGTTAGTTAATTAGTTTTTTTTATTGGTGCATAAGATAGAAACAGGTATGAGAAGGTGGTGGTTCAGTGACAGGAGGAGGATGCTGGTACAGTGACAAGTGTGTAAGGATGGTGGTACAGTGACGGGTGTGCAAGGATGGTAGTACAGTGAGGAAACATCACAGCCAAAGGCCCAGATGCACCACTAGGATGCATCTAATTAAAACACGAGAAAAAATTGGACCAATACAGTCAGATACCGGCGAGCTAACTGATAACGACGGAGAAATGAGCAATAATCTGAATAAATATTTTTCAATAGTTTTCACCACCGAAAGTTTAAACATGATACCCGTGGCACCGACCTGTAGTCAGCGTAATTTTAGCTCCATTTAAACTATCATCTTTGTGTCGTGGCTGAAGTGAGAGTCAAAGACTTTTTATATCTTTATGTATGGGTGAACTAACTAACTTAAGAACCTTTTGGGTAATTTATCATTGCGCCGTAATTTAAGCGCGTGGGTTAAATGCGATTTATATATTAATTCACACCAAAATAAGTATCTGACATCGAACCTTTGAGAATCTATAGTTGTCTCGTAACATCCTATTGTAAGGAAAAACAAAACTTGGTAAGTTGGTGTAAGTTAAGGTTAGTTTAAAGCTAGTATCAACCTTAATCCTCGCCAACACGGGACACACAAATAAATGGTACGTATTGATCAAGGGGATACCGGATACCCATTGTGATCCGACCAAACATCGGAAGTTTTACCCGAGTACTCCAGTTTTGTGTTAAGTGTGCTAACGCTGGACAGTGAAGGTCGTAACAAATACCAGACCGTCCGCCAAAGCAGTTAATTGGATAAGTGATGAAGAGAGCAAGAAGTGTATGACCCCGCATCAGCTGTAAACACACCAACAATAAAAAAAAAAAGATAAATAAAACGCATGAATATACGAAAACACACCTAAATTAATAAACATTAAATAAATAACACTTAAAAATGAGTAAACATTAAGTTTAGTAAACGTAAAATGGCGTATATATACAGGTAGATAGGAAAAGTTACCTTGATGGTCACCGGGAAAATTATATATTCTGAGTATCTGACACAAGGCCAACTCAGAGGATATTATGATAATGTCGTCTGGTGTGCTTACTTCCCTTTACACCTCTCAGTTTTTTTTGTTGATGTGTAGTGTGTTAATCTATAATACGAGTAATACTTTATAACATCAACTTGCGTGTATCTCTGAATCAACTTTTTCCGCCAACCATTTATACTATTTTTTTCGAATGCCAGAGTAGCGATGGGTAGTCCAAGTAATCTTGGTATTTCTGTACAATGTTGTAGTTCGCGTAGTTTTACCTGTCCCGACGTTCCTAGTGCCGCGGTAGTCTTCGGCCTTCTTGAAATACTTGAGAACGGTGTTGTAGTCCCAGCCAGGGTTTCCCAGGTCGTTCCATTGGTCGTAGTCTCGCCTGTTGCCTCTCACGTACATCATCCAGTTAATGACAGATGACCCACCCACCACACGACCCATAGGGAACGGGCATGCCTGTCACATCCCAGAGATTAAGAAGTTAGTTTGACTATCTGTCGCACTCTTGTGTGGATATGGGACTAAAAAAATCAAGTAGAACGTTAACCTGATGGTCTGTCCTATAATCAAATTGGTAATACCTCAGTGTATCTTACTTTTCTATGGCCCAACATGAACACCAGTACTCCCGCCATATCATTACCGATGCTCTTTGGTTTTCATACATAATCCCCGTCCTCAGGTAGCGTTATGGTGTTTAATCCAGGTGAAAAAGGTTAGGGTGTCTAATCTTCAGGTGATATCTAATCTCCAGGTGATATCTAATCTCCAGGTGATATCAAATTAACTAATATGTCTCAGAGTTCATTATTAAAGTCCTATTTCCTTTGGTAATTCTGATATAGACTGTTAACACAATGTGTCTCGTAAGTCGAGCACGTCTGTAAAAAAAATAATGTACTTCCTCTACTTTTTTCTGAGGGAATCAAAACAAATGAACGAAAATGACAGAAATTAATAATAGAAGAAAAAACCAGTTTAATATTAATGTACGAGAAGCCAGATGCTACACACCCACCAGTTGAAAAAAAACAAAACAATAACCTTCAACCATGGGTGTTGTTTGATTGAATTATTTTGAGGTTAACTATTGAACTAACCCTCTCCCCCAGTGTTGATTTCTGTTATCTTCATTGTTTGTTATGATTCCCTCACCGAGAAAGAAATAAAGAGTAGTGTACAATAATAATTTCCCTGTAGTGTACGGCGACTTAAGACACCGTGCGATCGTTCTTAACTTTTCAGCGCATCGTCAGCCACATTAGTATTCTCCAAGCGTTTCCTCTGTCATGGATGGACGAGTGGACCAGATACACACAACCTTGGTAAATATCTTGCACATAAAGAGTCAGCCCTTAATCATTAATGCAGGTGTTATGTCTACTCCACTGATCATGTCCTTCCTTACCTAAACCATTTGAGTGGACCCCTGCCAGCCTTCCATTAATACAAGCAATTACTTAGTAACATCCGCCAGTAAGAAACTATTTAAATAAATTCTATATAACTGTATAAGTAGAAAAAACAGCTTACATTATCCTTGTAGTTCCTGAGGCCGTATTTCTGAGGCACCGTCCTGTGGTTCCAGTCGTATTCACTTTGCATGAGGATCGAATTGAAGCCTGGGACGCGGGCCTCGGGGGGTGGCGGGCCTCCTGACTCTAGCAGCAACACTCTCCACTCCGGCACTTCTGCTAGTCGGGCCGCCACAGCACTTCCAGCTGACCCCGACCCCACTGTGGAAGAGGTCGATAGATTGATGAGAGAAATTTCTTTGTATTTTTCAAGATGGACGAAGTCAAGAAACTAACGAGAAAGAAAAAATTACAGATTATTTAAAATTTCAAGAAACACTCGACTGGCCTGCAACAATACAACTCCTTTACCTACCACCAATTCATCAATCGTTACCTGTGTACACATCTACAAACGCTTGATACTCTAATACACTCGCGCAACAAGTGTTTCGTGTTTACACCCTAGGAACTACTCAACCACCACCTACACCCACAAATCATATACCTTCAAGGAACCAGTGTACCGACCTACTATGAAGTCGTACTGTGGCAGTAACTTGTGAGAGTCGTCGAAGTCATAGTGGCCGACGCCTGAGAGGAAGCTTAGGGCCAAAAGCCTGGACACGATTTGAGGCAACGCGAGGGCGGGGAAGTGGGTCATGGTGCCTTCTTCCACACGCCTTCTGCTAACCCCACGCCAACGTCCCCCTCCCTACAACACGCTGCTTTCCTCCGAAAGTCCACGCCCCCTACACGCCTCGCAATAGTTAACAGGGGCTTCACTTCACCCAGTCTCACCAACACTCCTCCACACGCCTGCGCAGGACACACGGTTTCTGCCAAAGAAAAAGGAAGAATTTTTGCCTTAATGAGATGCTTCAGTGATTAAAGTTTTAATAATATCGTTCACTTAACATCACAACAACTTTTAAAATCCAGGAAATATAATATTTCTGCGTAACTTATCAGAGTAAACTAAGATTTTTGTTACTCTAGTGACTAGAGTCTAGTCAGTTCTCATGCTTCATCTAATCACGTTACATTACCTGAACCTTTGATAATGTTAAACAACTTCTACATCCAATAGACCAGTTTGTGTATCATCCCTCCCATAATAAAGAATAGTCTTATGTTCGAGGTTGTGTGTAATAATCTTCCCCAGGGTATCTAAGGTGCTAGAAGATGGTGTTTTCTCGAGAGCGTTGATGGCGCTTCCTGCAGTCCGGGCGAGAACAAGAGCAGTTAACAAGGCAGCTTGTTCATATATGCAAAATCATCAATACACACAGATATATAACGAACTGAAGAATATATGAAATATGCATCAGATAATATACTCGGGTTAATAGATAAGCTGGGAATACAACGCTGTAACTCCAAACAGCTGTACACCCTCCTGACAGCTGCCCAATGATGGAACTTGGGAGGGAAGGCCTGTTTTGGCGCCCAGACCTCTGTGCACCGGATGAGACCACAATTTTTAAAACAATGAACCACTCATCTGGTGACTGTGTCTGAATGTACTGCTTGTCATGGTGACCTTGTTCTCCTGCACACTCGTGGCTTTTTACAGACAAATGTTGTCTCCTCGTTTCTTAATGTGGCATATACTTGACCTCTCCCTCCTCCCTTTTCTCCTAACGTGCACATTACACCAACATGGAAGGAGTGGGGGGGAGGGAATACTACACAGATGTCTTTTTTTACGGGGAATAGCCGACCCGGGCACACGTCGTCGACCGATAACGAGGCCTGGGGGGCGAAAAGAATAAATCTGAATAATGTCATTGCCTTTTAACATCACAGCTGCACACGTGACCATTACAATTTCCTATTTAAAAATGCTATTATTCTACTGACATTTACACGGCGTTCAGTCAAGAGGTTAAGGTAATTTGAAAGTCCAGTACGCAAGAAACAAAAATCGAACACAAGCACAGCATCAAACTGAGGCACATGTCAAATCATTTAACTTAACTGAAATATTTATTTATACATTCATAAAAAAAAAGAACTTGGTAATAACCCCAGGGAGATCAAGATGATCCAATATTACACAGTATCAGGTCTCGTTGTTAATTGTTTCGTTATCCCCGCCTTTTTTTTTTGCCAGCACAACCTGTCGGACGTACGATAATAGTGGACAGTGAGTCTCCCCGCCAATACCCACCATCTCCACACTTCATATTTTTATTCTCCTAGATCGTATCTTCTTTTGACTCCTTAACTCGTATATTTGAATAGTCAACTTACCAGACTACCTAACACAAATAGCTTCAACGACAAAAACAGACTACCTAACATAACCAACTTCAAGGATAGGAAAAACTAGCCCAAATAGAGAAATTCCTCGTGATACAATTTCTAGACTACTTCACTGTCACCTGAATATGTTACGAGTTAAAGGTCATCCAGTCATTTGACCTCCACTAGCTTATCAACCCAGCAGCCTGAGCACCCCCTCTCTCCCACACGCTTGTCTTCCCAGGAACCATTCAAAGTCCCGCCACATTTTAAACGTAAAAAAAAAAATCTAGTTTACACGTAATATTTCCTCTTCATTTAAGGATAAAAGAAGGTATTTCGTCTTATTAACTCTCCTCCATTAGTTGACAATCTTTCTTCCCTTTCTCTTCGCCGTAATGTTGCTTCACTCTCTCTTACAGGTACTGTACTGTACTTTAACGGGCAATGTTCGGTCAACTTCGGTGGATTTGGCATCCTGTGTACCGCCGGCAAGTTTTTAGTTTAAAAAATTTATTGGCAAAGCTTGTAGTACAGTTTGCCTATTCTGAGTAATTCAGTCAGGTCTTGACACTGAGGGTGGTATCACTTTTTACTGCCACGCAGGACAGAGGTTCACTCATTAACAGCTATATATGTATTTAGGTTAGATTCATGTGGGTAATGCCACTGTTCACTGCCATGCAGGACAGAGGTTCATACACAAAGAAAGAAATACATCATATTCATTAGCAGTATATATAGGTCAGTGGTTCACATACATTGGAGTCATATTCTAATTGAAGACTAATCAGTGTGGGCTAGCAAATTTGGGATAAACAGCAAGAATGTCCTCAAGCACCCCTGATTCAATGTAGTAATTACAAAGTTCAAGATACAATAAGTCAGGTGGCCTGATGTCTTTGACGGTGTCACATTCAATAATATAGTGTTCAAGTGTATGCTTTAGAGGTTTATCACAAAGTTTACATGCTGAGTGTTCCGGTATGGGTACAGCGTTACTAACTTGCCAGATGTGTCTGTATCCTAGCCTAATTCTGGCCACGACTACATCACATTGTCTGGTTCTGTCCTTATGCTGGCCATACCGGTACCTCTTGTCACAAAATTTGTCATATTTACTAATGCTACAACTGCCAGGTCTCTCTGCATTTCTCAGTTCTTCTAGATCAGAGTTCATGATTCTGACGTGAATGTTTTTAATTACAGCATTGGACAGGCCAAGGTCACGGTCAACATTTTCTTTCTTACATGCCTTGCCGGCAAGGCCGTGGGCTCGTAACACACGTCTTGCCCGCGGTGCCCACCGTTTCTGTGTGGATGTCGGTCACACTAGAATACTAGAATAACCCGCTATAGTACATCCTTCTTTCCTCACACAGCCAAACTGTGGGATGCTCTGTCTTCTTCTGTGTTTCCATACTCATACAATGTCTCACTTTAAAAAGCTGGTTTTCCGGCATCTTCGTGGTGTAGATTAATATAACCTTTTCCTTTTCTATTTTTTATATATTTTTATTCTTATTTTTTCGCCCCCTAGGGCCCGATGTGAACCGATGGGCTATTCCCCGTAGGAAAAAAGAAGCTATTTACGATAAAATCTTGTGTATATATTTTGAGGTAATTCTGGTCGCTGATTTCATTTTCGTTGTCTTCAGGAAATATTTATCGTTAATTATTTCACAAAATTTAGCCCGAGGTTAATTAGGGTTAGGTAAGGTTTGGGAGTAAGTTAGGTAAGTTGGGTAAGATTTGGGAGTAAGTTAGATTAGATAAGTTGAGAGTAGTTTATGTTAGATTAGGTTAGAGTCAATATTTTCAGTAACAGCGTAGGCGTTGGATCCAGGAGGGGAGGGGGGTGGGGGGGAGTGTCACGGACGGACAATGCCTCAATAATCTTTTTGGGTGGTTGGTGGGTGGGGGAGGAATGCATTGCGGACAGGACCGGATTCAGGAGTGGACAAAGTGGGCAGTTGCCCAGGGGCCTCCACAATCTGGGGGCCTCCACAATCTGGGGGCCTCCACATATCAGGGCTGGTCGACTTGAAACCACATGAATGACTCCAGTCATGTCTCACTTTTTTGTGTGTGTGTGTGGATGTGTGTGTGTTGGGAATTTGTACACTATCAATAAATATGCAGTTAATTAAAAATTTCTCAATGTTCTAATTTCCTCAATATAACTGCATATGGCTTCAAAATTCTCCAAAGAAGTGTTCAAATTTCAAAATTTTCCAGGGGGGGCTTACAGCGCCCCCCGGAACTCCCAGATGTTTAAGCTCGCTTCACTCGCTACCCCACCCTCTTGGGTAGTTATAATGAGGGGGGCCTCCACAAAGAGGCTGCCCATGGGCCTCCACAGGTCTAAATCCGGCACTGATTGCGGACGTAGTTTACAGAATGTAATGGTTGACGGTACCACCATGTGACTTGACCGACGGTCTGGGTCAAAGGTAACACTGGCTGAGGCAGGCGAGTGTGTTCATTAATTACGAACCTCAAACTTCGGGCCAGGGCTCATATGTGTAGAAAACTGGGATGGTTCACAGATAAGCCTAAATATATTCAAGTAAACATTACAAAATATTTCTATTATGACTATAAAAATATAAAAAGTGGGTTTTATTCAATTTAAGGCAAATAAATCAAGGCTTCGTGGGGGTAAGAAGGGGCCAAAGGCAACGACGCATAGCTTAAGTTATGCGTAAGCAAAGGTAAGCAAAGTTAGATTGGATGTGCGTAGGTTTGCATAGGTTAGGGTAAGGTAAGGGTAGGTATGTATGAATTAGGGTAGGGTAAAGGTAGGCATGTGTAGGTTAGAGTAGGTTAGATTAAGTTCCAAACTCAGGTCCAGAAATTAAGCTACCCCCATACTTCTCCGGTTCTGATGCTGAAGGCCCAACATCACCCAAATTTTCCTGTAACTTGTGATGTATTACTATGATGCTGAAATTGCACCAAGACTCTACCCTTTGAGGAAAAACGTATCTAACTTAACCTCAAGTATCAATTTATCTAACTTACCTTAGATATTTGCTCTAACCTTACCAAACTTGACACACATCTAACATAACCTAAGCACTGATTCATCTTCGCCAAACCTAGCCATGGAGAGGCGGTAGAGCGAGAGACTTACAGTACACTGTATATAGCGCGCAGGAGGTAACACAAGTGCACTCCACGGAGGCACTTACACTAGTAGCGCGGTACGTGAGGTAAATTTTTGTTTGCGGTGTTCTTATACGAACAAGTTACCTGGAGGGAGGGGGGGGAGGAGAAAATGAGAGGGGTGGGGGAGAAAGAGAACGAGGGGGGGTTGAAGGTCGACGGGCAGACGTACCAAACATACTGGGGTATATACTTGGGACGCTTGGAGTGGTACCACTCTTGCCTTCGCAAGCGAGATGTCACGGGTTCGATTCCCGGGCCGGTGGAAGTTGTTTGAACATACTTCGTAACCCCCATTAATCCCTGTTCACCTAGTAGTAAAGTAGATACCTGGTGTAAACCGAAAGTTGCAAATTCGTATTCAGGGACAAGTTGTTGGAGCTTCCAATAACTTGATGACATAAACCATTGACTCTTCAGGCTTCTACGCCCTTAACTCATGAGACATAAAGGCAAGCATGAACTTAGCATGCTTCCCTGTTGGGCACTGTAAACACTTCCGCGTTTCACCTTACACAAGGATGTAGGGGAGTGCCCAATAAATAATAATAAAAGAAATACTGGGGTGCAATGCGTTTTTCCTCTCCTCCCCACAAGCCAACCCATCTTCATGTTTAAATCACTAAATTATTATGTTTAGGACCCAAACAAATGATATATCTTGTATGCATTGTATTCCCATCCATAAAGAGTAAAGATCCTTATTATAATTTATGAGTATCTTTGGTGATAAGAAATATGGCTGAGGTAACAGAAAATACAACACAACACAAGCACAACTTTCTTCACAACGCTACATTTACAGTACAGTATACGTAATAAATACTTTCCAAAAATTGATCTCACTAATCATAAAAATCAAACTATCTAAAATACTATAATTACGAAGAGGAAAATTAAATCATGTAAATATTGCAGCAAGAACAATTTAACAATACTTCTTCCGCAAGTGTATTAAATAGAAGAATCTTATTTGATATCAGTGAAAGTTCTATTAATAAATATTGAATTCCTTATCAATAAGTCAAGGAATCAATATAATCCTTATTAGAAAATAGACGAAATAGTAGCAGAAGAAATGGAAGTAGACGAAATAGGAATAAACCTATCGAACAGCCTAAAATGGTCACTTCTGGAAACACGTACCGTTATGTGATTACAGGTTCTGGTCACAAAGCCGACAGTTTCGCAGCAGAATACTTTCATCAATGTCCCAACCACATGCATAGCTTGCTACACCGTCCAGTCATCGTCACAACTCACACTACACGTACCTTCCTGTTTAATTTTCACGGGGGTATATTCTTCTTTCTTTGAAGCTTTGCATACAACTGCCATGAAAGTTAACCTAATGCCTGTTGCTTTGCCCACTTCGGCACATGGCGTGTGTGCTGAAAGAATAATATCACATAACATTATTGTAACTGAATATGATTATAAACCAGTATGTGGAGGGTTTGTGTACAAGTGTAAGGTATTCTCTGTAATATATTTGTTTGTCTAATCATGTAAGGTTATATTGCCTTCGTTACAATAAATATTTTGAAGCACATAAACTATACAAAAACTAATATATATTAAATAGAAACTGTAGTAGTATTATAGATGAAAAATTATAAATAAGAAGAAATAAACACGGAAGAGTGATAAGCGAAGTGGTAATAACAGGAACAGTTGTGAAATGTTTGGAGGATAGTAAAGAGGCTAGGCACTATGTCATGTAGAGTCTGTGTACACCATCACCATAAATGACTCTTGTTGTGTTCACCTCTACCAAAATGGCGTTAATTGTCTAAATCACCATCTTAAAGAGCCTGTAATTCCCTGTAACCTAAATTTTTAAGACTACAGCAGTCCTAAAAAAATCCGAGTCAAATTTCAGCTGCAAATAAATATACTGTAAAGCAATATATATTCTTTTCTTTTTTCTTCAGAGGTAATCATAATATTACTTGTAACTAAATACAATACAAAATCTGCAAAACATTTCAATGAAAAATCCAGGTTTTTTTCGCCTAATTTACTGTAAATGAAGGTTTATTTTTTACATCACGAAACTGAGCTGGGAAATCCTTGTCAAACTAGTTTATTTTTTTGTTTTAAGGATTCTTGTTTCCTTTAGTTTGGCCTTGTGTTAGGATCACAGTTTTGTTTATTTAATGTCCTGTTAGAATGTATGTTGTCGTTTGAAGTAACAACAGTGGTGGTAATAGCAGTATAGTAATAGTAGTTATAGCAGTAATATTACAGTAGAAATAATGGTAACAGTAGTAGTAGTAATAGCACTACTAGTATTAGCAGTAGTAACAGTAGTAGAAGTAGTAATAGTAGCAGCAGCATTTGGTGTCAACGAGAATATTGACATTTGTTCTCTTGTCTTCCCAGGGAACTCGGAAAATGGAACGTAGACTACGTTGGTAAAGCGGGCAGTTCATCTCTCATTTATCCATTCATATTTTTCATGTTATGTTCCATTTTCAATCTATTATTCATCCATCCATCCATCTAACCATCCATCTCGTCATATTTGTTTATATTTTGCAGAATGATCGTACAAGACCACAAAAAAAATATATTCTAATTTGTCCCGTTTTTATTTGCACTCAAGCAACACGACGCGACGCAAAGACATTGTTAGGAAATATGTAATACTGATTTCTTGAAAAGTTAAATTCAAGAAAAGAAAAAGGGAAGAGGGGGAGGAGCAGGAGAAAAGGGAGGAAGAGGAAGATCTATGATAAAATTATATGTCTGATAATAACAACGTTCAGGTGTACGATACCTGCAGAAACGGACCCTAAAATTCACAATAGAAAAATACCAAGCAAACAAAAAACTTGCACAAACACAACCAAACACACAACCGCATGTAAAAGCGAAATAAAAACAAACCAGAGACGAACAAACAAAATAAAACAACATAAACAGGCAAAACACAAACAAGTAACCGCAAGCAACACACATACACACACCCGACCCACCAAGAAAAACACGTACTACAAACAGAAATATACTCAAGGCGGTAAATACCCACACCTATAATAAAACTTATTCACCGCAGCATCTAATATTGGAAGCCTGATTTTTTTTTAGGTTCTCAAGGGTATTTGGGGATCTGTCCTATTCGTTCTATCTCAGGGTCAAGGGTGTATAAATGTTACCCTTCCTTGTTTTTAATCTTTAGAATTTGTAAAGTCATCTGGGTAATTTATACAGAAAATATATTATAATAATATCAAAATTAACAATAAAATAATAATAATAATATTAATTATAATAAAGACATTCAAATGATAGTTGTGCAAGCGAATGTGGGAGGTAGAGGGAGAGCGGAGGAGGAGCATTGCTACTGTTATGTCCAGTCAGTCATATGCGCCAATAGTACCAATCACCGTCACATCTCACTGCTCCTACTACTATTACTACACGATAAGTGGTGGGTGAATGTTCCCTCGATACCGCTGCCAGACACAAGACTCACTTCACCCACATCCTAACTTAACCTAAGCTAATCATTCCTGTCTATCAACACTACTGTGGTGGCAGTCGTGGTGGTAGATGTGAACCTATCACCACGACTGCCACCACTATCATCACAGTACCACCACTACTATTAACTCTCACCACCACAATATCACCACACCACTACCACAGCACCACAATATCACCACACCACCACAGTGAGAAGCCTGTGTCCACGTTCACCATGACACAGCAAGATTTACTAAGAGAGTAAACCTTTTTGTAAATATTGAGGGGCGAGTACTTTCCACATCTACCTTTTATTTCCCTCATATGTCATCTACCATGAGTCTTCGTCCGTCAACTACCATTTACTTCCGCCGTTTATCATAAGTCTACTACCATCCACCATCTACCATGATTACTTCCCTCATCTACCATCTACTTCAGGCATCTACTATGAGTATTTTCTTCATCCACCATCTACTTCCATCACCTAAGTCTACTTCCCTCATCTACCATTTAATACTATGAGTTCCTTAACAAATTTGAGATCGTTTAAAAATCTTGCGTCACTCAACGTCTTTACGATACGTCACTCGTTTTACGAGGGAGTTAAATCATATGCGATCATCGTCACTCACTCACTCACTCACTCTCCATCACGACTGACTGACGTGAATGACCGTCGTAATGTGAACGTGTTGAGGTGAGATAAAAGTGGATGGAGAATTGACCAAAACATCTTACCCCTCTGTATTTGTAGCGACAAGAGAGAGTTACCTAGTCAGACCCATCAAGCCTCAAGCGTACCCGGAGAAGAAGGAAAGCAAAGACATATTTATTTACCTTGTGGTCTCACTTTTACAGGAGGATTACCCGGGAGCTCACATTCTAAAGTCCCCCCTCCCCACAGAAAAAAAAATCTTACGTTTTTTATGAGTAATGGGGTAGCTACGAGTTGCAACTATCCTTTTAGAATACATTTTTAAAAGCCTTTCTATTTTTCCTTATTTCTGAGTTAATATAAATATATATTTTTAGATTAATTTCTATATTTGAGGTGCATGTATATAGAGAGAGATTATTTCCTCTTGGTATTTCGGACATTTTTAGGTAGATTTAGCGAGTACGTATTTTATATGTTTGATTTGGTTACGTCAATAGCCAAGCGAGTGTTGTTAATTATGACATATATAATAGTGTAGTGTTGCTATTATACATCATGTAATATCCTTCATTCTATTTGTAATAATAACTAATAACACTGAATTATATGAGGAGACTTTCATTACAGTTTCCTGGACAGTGTAAAATGAAAATACAAATCAGAACTATTTGCTTATAGATCATCGAACTGACTCTTTTAAGGGCTCCAGAATACCATCTTTAGGGAACCCTGAATACCATCTACTGTATAGCAGTGGTTCTTAACCTTCTTAGGGTCGCGCCCCTCGTAGCAGTTGGTCCTCATCTCCACGCCCCCCCTCCTTCCTTCATATAAAATTCTAAATCTAAAAATCTAAAACAATTTCCTCTTGAATTAAATAGGAAATTTGAGAAACTAGTTTTTCATTTGTTACTTTAATAACTATAATTATTCAAAACAGTCTGTATAAGCAATCGTCGAAGTCAGTGTTGACAAATTTTCACAAATTACGTTTTGATTGACGTAGTTACCATTTACGACATTTTGATGTATGTGAGGAGCGAGACCCCCCTCCCCCTCGAAAATCCAAATAAGGACATACACACACCTGTTAAGGCCATTCCTAGGTTTTGCTCTGGGTTCAGGCCCACCCCCCCTCCCCCCGGTTAAGAACCGCTGATTTATAGGGACCCCAAATGACCCTCTAGCCCAGGGCCCCCAACATCCTTGAGCTACAGGTGGAACAGGTGGTCACAGTAGCCAGCTGGTGAAAGTACAATATATTCAACACTCAAGTACTTTATTTAACTCAGTGAGATAGGTTACCCGAGGTGGAATTTCATTAGGAAGTAAATGTGTGTTTTTGGTTTACATGCGTTTGGGATGGTGTGTGTGTGTGTTGTGTGTGTGGTTTCATAAATTTCGACAGTGTCTACTTACGGTCCGGTCTCAGCGTAGGTTTGAAGACACGGTTGGTTTCACATCACTATTTCCTCTTGGTATTTCGGACATTTTTAGGTAGATTTAGTGAGTCTGTATTTTATAAGTTTGATTTAGTTACGTCAATAGTCAAGCGAGTGTTGTTAATTATGACATATATAATAGTGTAGTGTTGTTATTATACATCATGTAATATCCTTCATTCTATACGTACAAATATCGATAATCCGGGCTGTGTTAGTATGTAGTAGTAGTGGTGGTGAGAATGGTGGTAGATGCTGAACGCACGACACCTGGCCACACACTGATTCCTTTCTGCTGAACCTCCTTCGACAGGTACTGCCGTTCACCGTCTCCCCCTCCTCTCACTAACACCCCCCCACCTCCAACAACTGGTACCCTCCTCCCCCTACTATAATGCCCCCTCAACTACACCTCCCTCCCCTCCTACCACCATACCTTTCTCCCTTACTCTTCGCCTCTCACAAGAAAAACAAATGACTGTAGAAATGAGTGACCTTCAACTTTGACATCTAATATATATTTTCATTTATGTGACAAATAATAAAATGATCACAAAGCTATCGTTACGATTGATGTAGTATTTTCAGAAATAATAGATACGATAACATGGGTAAACAACCGTACTCTTTTACCAGCCCCCCCTCCCCCAGATCAGGTTTGTGTCAAAGTATATATGCAACAAATATCCAACAAACGGAGGGAATTAATCTATGAGAAACGAAGGAAGGAAAAACGAAACAAAAAGAAAAAAAAGAACATTAAAAAATAAAGCAACTCATCGCAGCTGCGTGAATTTCACCAGATTTCACCAATATTTGTCTGGTTCTCACAATTTTATGTATTGGAACCAGGCAGTAAAAACTGGACCCAAAACCCGACTGTGGGGACCTGCCTTTCCCCTTGCCCACCCCCACCCCCCGGAAAAATTCTATTGGATGCCCTTGGGTTTACCGTTTATGACATGAAGAAATGGCCCAGCTTGCTATGGCCGGACATTTATTTATATCTCATAAAATCCCCCAATGTTTATACAAAGGAATATTTAAAGGCCTATAAATCACTTGATACGCATAATTATGTATACTCAGCCATTTGCATGCGGTTGTATATCTCCCAATTACAGACAAGCAAAAGTGCTACTGAATTAGCGCCAAGGCCACAAAATATAAATGAACGACGTCAATAAAAAGTATTGACCACCACCGCCGAGCATAAAAATATGAAACCGCGCGAAAACTAACCGTGTACAGTATCTGCGATTACCAGCGTCTGTTGGTCGTCTTTCATATTCTATTTTATTCTATTCTATCGACCTTTGGGTGGTTGATACAGTACATAATCGGAAAGCTTTTATGTTGATAGCTAACCAGTGCCGGGGCCTCTTTGTGGAGGCCCCCCTCATTATAACTACCCAAGAGGGTGGGGTGGCGAGTGAAGCGAGCCTAAACATCTGGGAGTTCCGGGGGGCTTACAGCGCCCCCCTAGAAAATTTTGAATTTTGAAGCCATACGCAGTTATATTGAGGAAATTAGAACATTGAGAAAATTTTAATTAACTGTATATTTATTGATAGTGTACAAATTCCCAACACACACACACACACACACACACACACACACACAAAAGTGAGACATGACTGGAGTCATTCATGTGGTTTCAAGTCGACCAGCCCTGATATAGCTACTACCGCACATGTCAAAATTTTTCAAGAGACTTCACAGAAAAGAATATATTATTAGTTATTACAGAGAGATGATTCTTTGCATTATTAATCAGATAAACCTCTACTCATATAATGGTTCTGTCCAAGAATGCATGTATAGGTTTCTTTAAGTCCAAGGTTCAGATAGATTCAGAATAAGTATTAACTCAACTATAAATAAAATTGAAGTTTTGCATCCAATAAATAAAATATTGTAATATGTGGAGGCCCCCAGATTGTGGAGGCCCCTGGGCAGCTGCCCACTTTGCCCACTCCTGAATCTGGCCCTGTAGCTAACTGTGCATGCAGAGGAAATGTCACATGATGGGGATATTTGTAAGATATTTGATAATGTTTATTATAAGAGTCATTCGATGTTAGCATATCACTTGACTCTGGGTTCACGGACACCCTCATCATCTCTCTTACACACCCACGCTGGTTCCCAAAAAACAACCACCGCACTGAAGTTAAACCCCTGAACACCTTTAAAGATTAGTGATATTGCGTCCAGCCATTAAATGCACTATCTCCGTGGCAGAGAGACCACGCTAATTTTCTCCCAGTACGACCAACATTCATGTCCTCGATTGATCATCCGAAATAAAAACTAAGTATTGAACAATAAACTTATTCCTGAATTATAATAAATAGAAGGATTTTCATATACCCCCAGGGTGTATATATATATATATATATATATATATATATATATATATATATATATATATATATATATATATATATATATATATATATATATATATATATATAATCTCGCTGTGTGGGATATTTTACGTTCATACTGGAGAAAAAGAGCCCCCGGTTTCTATGGTAACACAGTGTCAACAGTCGGCCATGACGCACACTGCATGTTACAACTAAAAGAACGTTTTTATTGCATGTCATAGTAACATGGGAAGATCTCGGAAAATCACTAGAACTATAGGTGTATCGAACTGGTGTTTATCTGGTTTGATTATAAGGGCACTTAACAACCTAGTTAACATTGCGGCAGAGGACCAGTGGCAGCCTGGCGTCACTCAGTAGTGTTGCGTTATTGGTAGAATCGACCAACAAATTTTACACGCAGGTTTACACGCAGGCTGTTAATGCCAAGTAACGCTATATAGCTAATTGTTGTTCCTTTATTTTTATTAAAAAGTATCAATTAAAAGTTTTAAGGGACATCTGAGAAACATTTCTTTAATTTTCTGGATACAGTATACTGTAGTATGTACCAAAATTAATTCTAAAGTTGGTATCTTTACACCAATCAAAGTGGGCAATAAAAGTGTGCGTGGCAGAGGTACATGTTGGTAAATGGAACACCATAGTAATAGAGTACAGTACACTTCTGGAGGCCGCGTGAGTGACGGTCGTGACTCATGATTCTCCTTGTGAAGTTCTGACCCGCGTCAGTGTGGTCTAGGTCGTTATTGGAATAAGGTGCGCACAATCGCGCTCCCTCTCCCACCATGTCGTAGTATTGGTCGGGTCTCGCGTTATCAAGAGGTTAAACATCGGCCCGTGATTGATATGTTGTGGAGTGCTGATGATGGTGACAGTCAAGTGTTGGGTCGCGAGTGGGACTGGCAGTATTGGGATATGAGGGAGGTGGGGTGAGGACGAAAACCATGACGCCCTACCAGGAGGGCACCTCACACTCCAGCGACAGCAGCGGCAATTCTGAGGACGGTGTGGCGCCCCTCCACGATGACCTGCGTAGTCCTGGGTCCTCCCCGCGTGCCAGGTCTTCTTCGAATTCCAGGTACTACATGACCCGTGAAGCCCAGGTCGGGATGCCAGAGGACGGGGAAGGTGTGGTGATGACTGACCTGGAGGACGAAGAGGGAGCCGCCAGTCCCCCAGGAGGCGTCGATGACCACAGTGGCGAGGATGATGACCACCACGAAGGGTACCTGTGGTCACGAGAGGCTGCGGTTTCCTACGACAGAGAGGGTGGACGTGGTGTGGTTGATGGTATTTCTACACACAGTGTTGACGACGATGACGACCCAGAGGTGTGGCTTAACACTGTATCTTGCCCTCATGGTTGATTTAATACCGCTCTATCAGGGTGTGTTAATTTGCTGTTATGTTATAATGCTGTTTGTAGTGCCCTCTCATGCTGTTATCGTCTGATGTAATGCTGTTTTCAGTTCACTATCATGCTGTCTTGGACTCCTGAATACTTTTATGAGTACGTTATCATGCTTTCATAGTATAATTTAATGCTGCCACTATTCCTAATACACTGTCATGCTGACATACACAGTATGCTATAATGGTATCATCTGTACAATATCGTGGTTTTTTATGCTGCAATGCTGACCTTATTTTTACGCCATGCAGTTATGCTTCCGTTTGTACACTGTCATGCAATAATGATTTCTTAATATTGTAATATTACACCCGATCCTGGAATCCTGTGAGGGGTGTGGGAGAGGCGTGGGGTCTGGCGTAAATAGTTAATGGTAACACACGAACAGACCTGACAGGATCTAACTCATTTCGTGATTGAAATATAATTAGCTGGGTTAAATATAATTGGTACGCGAAGAATAGTAAGACATTATTTACACCACAGTTCCCAAAGGTTACAAGAGTGATGAGACTCCGTGATCGCAAGTAATAACAGTACCCATTGAGAGTAACAGATACACGTGCGTGACTGTCGTTTTCATGAGTGATACTGTTCTTCTCATAGTGTTAGTGTGAGGTACTGTCCTCCGGAGAGTGACACACTATCCTCTATGCATACTAGTGGCGTCACGATGAGGAAGTAGGTTAGATGTTATGTGTCTCACCGTAAATAACTCGCTCCGGTATGCTGTACTACACTGTTCGTGCAGTTATGTGATGTCTCCAAGGTCGGTTATAGAATAAAACCCAACTAATCTAGCTTAAATTAACTCTTGTGGGACAACGCTCCCCCTAGCCTATAGTAGCAAGTCAGTTGTAAGAAACCCCCACCAAACTTAGATTCGCAAATAATGTATATTGTCGGAAGCCTTATTGGTCTTGGCGTTGTATCGATTTCTTTCATATTCACACTTGAGTTGTTAAATCATAATTAAAAGCTTTGAGTTCACTAAAGTCTGTCACACACGCCCAAACTTCCGCTTTGATAGCTTACTTTATCTTATTCGTCATTGATTGGGCTGTTAGGCGCTTGGGTCACGTCACACACTGTTGGCGGGCCTGTATCTGGCTCTAGAATGCATCTGAACCCGTGCCAGTGTTCTTCAAGTCTGGTCTCACTCCAAAAAAGTTTGCCCGGAAAATGTTCTGGACTTTTTATATTTTTAACCTAAGGCCGAGACCTCCACTAAAGCGGGCATCCGCTAGTTTCAGGGATGAACCCTTAACAGACTTGTCTATACAAACAAGTTGCGCAAACAAATCCCAAGGACGGATCCAGTCAGGCGGTCCCCCCTTTTATCAGAAAATTCCAATACTTTTTCTTTAATGCAGTAGTGTACTCAGGTATTTTTGTATGGTAAAAAGTAATTACTATTGACCTCAGAATATCTCCTAATATCAAGTGCACATGGCTTCAAAATGGCCTCAAAATGCTCTTGATAGGCCCACTTTGCTCGCCATATTCCCCCACCCAAAATTTTGTGACCCCCCCCCAAAAAAAAGTGCAGGGGAGATTGGTAAATATTCGCTCTGGCGCCCAGTCAAGTTCGGCGATAAGGAAATGTTTTTTAAAGGGTAATTTTGATGTGCTGAACATGAATCCGCTATTCGTTTCTTATGCAAATGCATATTGCAAGCTATAGGGGAACGAGTTCCCTCAGAACGAAAATATATGACGCTGGATCCTTGCTGATTGCCAAACTAGAACAAGTTGGGAAAGATCCTTGCTAGGACTGAGGAAGTAGCCGAAAGAATGCAGGTGGTTGAGGCCTTAGCTGGGCCACGGGAGGTGGCGGAGAGCAATGCAGGATTACAAGAGGTTCTACAGCAGCTAGGGACTCTGAAGAAGTGTGTCGAAGAAATGACAATTAGCGGACGTACTGTTAGGGGAGAGGAGGAACAACGGGAACGTTTCCAGCGCAGAAACAATGTAAAAGTTTTAGGAGTCCCTGAGAACCAGGCGGAGGGAACTGAGAGTAGGATAACACATAAGATGCAGTTTAAGAATATTTGTACAGAGGTTCGGAAGATGCCATCAACCCCTCAGGAGGTGAGGAGGCTGGGACAAAAGCAGGGGGATAAGCCTCTTCCCCTCAGGAACACACTAGTGAGTGAGGAGGAGAAATGGGAGGTTATTCGGCAGGCAAAAAACTTAGCAAGGAGCAAGGCATCTCGGAGTGTATTCATTCACCCAGATCGCACGGTTATGCAGGGGGGACAGCACAAGAAGCTCCTGCAGGGCTTGAAGCAGGAGAGGGAGGAGTCGAGGAGGAACGGGGATGGGTGTACATGGGTTATATTCAGGGGGAGGGTAGTGGAAGCAAGGGGTGTGGTTATCTATGCTAGGCAAGACCTTAGAGCCAGCCAGGCGAGGGTACAGAGAGAGGATGGTTTTGAAGAGTCCAAGTGGTGTAAAATTAAATTAAAGGGAAGGGACTTACTTATTGTCGGGTGTATCTACAGATCCCCAAACTGTGGCCCAAATCAAAGGAACTTAAGAGCCTTAATAGACAATGCAGCAATGCTCAACCCTAGCCGCCTCCTTATCATGGGGGACTTTAACTAAGGCGACATCGACTGGAGAAATGAGTTCACCCCAAATGACTTAAATAACCCTGCTACTCTTTTTGTAGAAATTCTGAAAGATAATTTTCTGTTCCAACATGTTAAAGAGATCCGACACATTACAGAGGGGAGCAAACACCCAAGCCACTAGACCTCATCATAACAAACAAGGAGGGTATGGTGGCCAAACTGGAACACCTTGCCCCAGTTGGCACCAGTCACCATATAGTGTTGTCATTCAGATTTAAATATTGCCTAGTTCAAGATAAGGCCAGGCCAAGGTGCAAATATTACAAGGGAAATTACAACGGGATGAGAGATGATGATGAGGGGTATCCACTGGCCTGACTCATTAAGGCACGAGAACGCAGACACTCCACTGAATATCATAACTTGTAAAGTGACCCATTTGATCGATAAATATATACCCAAGACCAAACCCAGTGCCTTTAGGAATACGAGGGGATCCCTACACATGAACCATGAGGCGGTCGACAAAGTTAAGAAGAAAATCCAGAAATTTAAGACATGGGTTGGGTCAAACGATGAGCAGGACAGGAGGATGTATGCAAGAGCCAGAAACCAAGCAAAGATAGAGTGTAGAAGAGCTGAAAAGGAGTTTCAGAAGCTGGTTGCAAGCGAGGTCAAGTCAAACCCAAAGGCATTTTACTGCTATGCAAAGTCGAAATTAAAAACGTGAGTAGGAGTATCAGACTTGAGGCTTGAAGATGGTAGTTATGCAGATTCTGACCAGGATAAAGCTGAGGCATTGAAACGCTTCTTTTCCACGGTGTTCACAAGAGAGGATGCGATTAACCTTCCTGCGTTTGAGGACAGACAGTTCGACACAGCACTGACCCCACATTGTGTTCACAAAAGAGGGTATTAGAAATAAACTGTCAAAGCTAGAGGTCCATAAGAGTCCCTGCCCTGACATGGTGCATCCTAGAGTGCTAAGAGAGATGTGCAACGAGCTTGCAGAGCCCCTGAAGATCCTGTTTTGTAAATGCCTGGATGAACAAAAGGTCCCCAGTGAATGGAAAGTGGCTTATGAGAGTCCTATCTTCAAGAAGGGCGATCGTCACTCCACGAACAACTATAGACCGGTGAGCCTGACCAGCATAATATGTAAAGTACTTGAGAGTATTATCAAAGATGCCGCGATGGAACATCTACTACGAAACAACCTTGTAAAACATTGTCAACACGGTTTTATGCCAGAGCGCTCCTGATTAACACAATTGCTCAAGGTATTGGATATTTGGACCCATATTCTGGAACGGGGTGGTAATGTCGACAATACTGTATATACCTAGATTTTGCCAAGGCTTTTGACAGAGTACCCCACGAAAGGTTGAAAATCAAACTGGAAGGGTACGGAATTCGGGCAAATGTCCTAGCGTGGATAGAAGACTCTACATGATCGCAAGCAGTGTGTGGTGATGAATGGCACGAAATAATCATCTGTACCTGTCAAAAGTGGGGTACCACAGGGCAGTGTATTGGGCCCGCTGTTGTTTGTTTGTTTCATTAATGACATGCCTGACGTTGTATACTCCTTCACAAGGGGTCACAGCTCAAGATTGAAGAAGCCGCAGGTCCAGAAAACTGTGAGGGCAAACTTTTTCGGAGTGAGAGTTGTGAACTCTTGGAACAATCTACCAGAAAGTGTTGTGACAGCACCGAGTGTGAGCTCTTTCTAGACCAGACTTGACCAACACTGGAGCAGGTTCAGGTACATTCAGGAGCCGGTGCATGCCCAGTACCTGCCAGCAGTGCGTAACAGAGACGTGACCGATCGCCCAAGCGGCTAACGAGCCGATCAGTGGTGAAGAGGATAAAAGTAAAAGTAAAAAGTAAAAAAAATACAGTACTTTCGGTGATGATACCACCTGTTATCGGTTCACTATTTACTACTAATTGCCGATCACTATTTACTGCCAATTGCCGATGTCAGCTGTGACAAAGAATTCACATTAGAATTCATCAAAATTTACCACAATAGGCAAAAATTACAGTGATAAAATGAAAAAAATAAAACTACTTATGACAAACATGTTCAGAAACTGAGAGAAGTGGATCCAGAAATGGACTGGAAACACTCGTAAAGTATATACATAACATGAGAAGTGAATATAGAAAATGAATAAATAAAAGTAACGACCTACAAAAAGTCTGGATGTGGTACAGAAGACATACGAGTACAGATAGCAGCTGTCCCTCTGTGGTAAACATGTTCTTATGAAATCTAAAAGTGGATTGAGCATTTGTGCCAATACTACTGTACAGTGTGGAGGAAAAATGCATTTAAGTTTATTTGTGCAGATAGCAGTCTTTATTCTCTGTTTTCTCATTTATCATCATTTTATTCATTATCACCAGCACAGACACCATAACTATCACTCTGCTTCATCAGGCACCGCCACCATGTTCACCACCCACACCATCACCATGACACAACCAGCGACTTCACCCACTGTGCCTTCCTACAGAGTTGGTGGACGGAGAGTGGCCCCGTGGCTACTGTCAAGCTCGTGTTGGAGACAGGCGTGGGTGTCATCACAAGGGCATGGCCTCTCCACCAACCTGCCCATGCCCTCAAGGCTCAGCTCAGCCTTACAACACAGGTTCCAGCTCATTTTCTTCAGGTGAGACTTCAAGTTCCTGCTTTAAGTATTTATGGGGAGGATTTCGTTTTAGTTTACGCTCAAATTCACACTTGCTAAGCCTTACAGAGTAAAGACCAACTTTAAAGTTCACATCAGGAAGACAGTCTCGAAAAATTAACCAAACATTTTTTTTTTGCCGAATTAGTATAAAAATAGTAAATGGCATCGGCACAAAAGTACTGCCACCTTTTGCAAATGCTAAGTGGTAAGGAGAGAAGCGTTGTCAAAAACGAACACTGTTTTTCGTGTATAAATATTGTAAGTCTTGATTGATGTGAATATACAGTATTTATTTTTTTATGGATCTGTAGATTAGAAGATTTTCACACAAGATCGTTTATTGTGTTAAAGATAGTTTGATGGGTAAAAAGTTGACCAAGTTGTTACCATCAGCAACAATGACATAATTATCTGTGTATGTGGGCGTGCAGCTGGTGGTACGTGGGCGTGTGCTAAGTGACGAGTCTACACTGCGCAGTGTGGGCGTTGAGGCAAACGAAACGGTGCAGGTGGGTGTCTCCTCTAAACGCCCACACAGCCACCCACTGACCCTCCTAGCTCCGACTACGCCCACTCTCCCTACACCAGACGTCATCACCGTCATCGTGGCAGAAGGTGGTGTACCTAGCCTAGCCTGGTATTATTAGTTCCTAAAGCTAAGTGCCTCTCTGGATCATGTTCTCTGATCTTATTTGCTTTGGTTCTTTTTTCTTTCTTTCAAAATTTGCTGAAACTCGTTTTTCTGTCTGATTCTCTCGTTGGTTGTTTTACTTGGAAGGATAAAATTCTGTAAAAAAAAAAGTACTAGCATTGAAAAGATGTGTCGCGAGAATAATGAAGAAAAGTAGGAATAAATTTCATGATTTAAGTGCATCAGTGATGACTAAAAGAACTGCATTAAACTATATTTCCAGTAATTACAGTATTATCAGAAGGGACGATCACTTACTGATGTTATCACAGGATGATGGTGGTGGGGGTGGCATAATGGTGGTCTAACAAGCTGGTACACACTGGTTGATCAATAAAACCAATATAATGGAGGTGGGGGAGGGAGGGATTATGTCATCGGGTCACGGCTCGAATTCTCAAAGATTATATTACATATTTTCCAACATATATTGATGCTACTTCTGCCAATATTTATGTGCAAGGGTGACTGGGGATGGTGGGGAGGCCAGTCATATGTGCACACACCTTCAATTTATGGAAAATTTAAAGTATGATTTGCTGCAAAACAGCCCAGAGCACAGTCAGTGATATTTTTTATACTACCACCAGTATAGTACAGTATTATTATCAGACTCCTACCTTAAACTAGCTTGAGATAGAGAAGTACCCCCCACCTCCTTCTTACCTTCGAAGTTAAGGAAGGTTAGATTTGTTTAGTACAGTATTTGGATGGGGGACCACCTGGGAACACCAAATGCTGCTGGAAATAAGCATCTGATGACTTTGTTGGCTATCCTTAGTCAAACTGCCTGATCTCGATTATTACTGTAACTGTGCGTATTATAAAGCGCCAAGGAAACTTTGTGTGTAGGAGTGATAGATTAATTTTTACAGTAATAACTTTACGTATACTGTACCTGTACATTATTTGTTAACGACTTTTCAAAGGTATCTGATATACATACTGGTAGTATATATATTTTTTGTCATTCTTTTGCTGTGCCATATGTAGTGACAAAGGTAGTGACCAAATTTTACCACTGACTCTTATCATGCTAAAAATATATTGAAGTTCGACTTGACCTAGTTTAATGTTTGTGTCTCCAACAATTCCATTGTATACCTGTCACCTCCTCATTGTGTGTTCCAATGTCTTCAGCCTTCTCCAGTATGCTCAGTTTCTTCCCCTCTGCATTTTCAGAAGTCCCAAGCATATTCATTGATCTCCGGCAAATTAATCTACGTTAGTACTTCCCCCTACTTTTGAGTTTTGAATGATGGCCCAGCCCAGATGAATGTTCAATGCCAGTATTTACATTACAATAGCGTGTTTGCCTCCCCTCCACCAATTCTAGTGTTCCCCTCCCATCAGTTTCAGTGTTTACTCATTCTTTCCCCTTATCTTCCCCCTGCATTCTTGGTGTTTATCCTCTCCCGAGTTCTTGTCGCTTTTAATGTTATTACCGTGCTTTAACAACTTAGGTCATTAAGCATGTAACACAAAGCCAATAACAATAAAATATTATGTGAGGTAGAACACTCTGTCTACTGAGCAAACTGCAAGGTTACATCTTCCTAAGCTTACTTGATAGTTACTTTCCCTGTATGTTCAGTGCCTCCAGCAGTGTTGATGTAGGACGTCGACTATATTATACTCAGCTCCCTATTGTATTCATTCTTGTTACGTGGCTGTTCTACCAAGAGTGAGTTTTTATTTAATTTCCTGAACTTCCCATTGCAGGTGGAGGAGTGGAGCGGGAGGTGGTGGTGGAGGTGGAGTGGGGAGGCGGTCACAAACCCTGGCTTGGGGGTTACAAGCACATACTCTCAGGACTATACTACCACAACGCCTCCACACAGACCTTACCTCCAGCCAGAGCCACTCCAGGTGTGTCACAACAGTTCATTTAACTTTCTCCCCCCAAATTAACTGCCTCTACAGGGGTGTATTAGTTTTTCTCTCTAACTTTAACTGTACTTAACTGGTTATACATAAACTTTCTTTCATAGCTTTCAGTGTAAGAACATTATTATCCAGTATTGGTCAGTACCTCATGTCTGACCATGGGAGAAAAATAAAAAAGGTGATTAACTCATTACACGAAGCACTGATGGACTGACAGTTACGTGGGTCCTTGGCCCATTGGGTTTTTGGGCTAACTTCAGGAATTACAGCAGCTACACATTTGAGTTCAATTTTCTCAGGAGAGGCTAGTAGCTCGTTAAAAATGTTGGGGGTTGAAGCTTTACATTTGCTCTCTGAGACAACATAAATAGTGGGGCAGCTAAATGCAAATTTTCAAGAGAATCATGCTAATGGTGATACAAGCACCAAATTTGGCATGGTAATTCTCTAATGGTTACTAGTCAAGTCTGCCTGATTGACCATTTGAAAATCCAAGATGGCCACCATATTGACCTTCAAAAGTTGATTTTTCTTATAGAAATTGATGTAGTTGGTCAATCTGAGTGATCTTGGTGTCGATATGTATGTTTTCAAGCATGCTCAGATGATTTTGTATAGTTTTAAGTCCATTGTAACATTTTTATCCACATAAAATAACACTTTTAGTAAAAAAATATAATAAAAAAGAACTTCCTAAAAAAAAAGGACTCACTATTAGCACTGGTTCCTGTGACTTCTCCTGACAGTACATCTTTGTGCATTTACTGCTGTTCACATATGCAGCTGCAAAGTGCTGTGTAGGAAAGTCCAGAGCGAAAGCATTTGCATCTCTGGTTGCAGTCTTTCTTACAGGAACATTTGGTCAGCTCCTGACAGCATGATGCAATCGGGGGAAGAGTCGTCCAACGTATCTGCCATGTCTCTCCCTTCTGCGTCCATCCCCAGTTGACAGGACTGCTGGTTTCTGGATTGGTGATTGTTGCCTGGCCCCAGATGATACCAGCCTGGTAGGCAGCCCGCTTTGCATGTTCCTTGAGGGCTGCCCGGGTTGATGGAATGGAGTCATATGGTCTCTGCTTGCGGGAAAAGAGATTTAGTCTTGCCTCATCTACACCAGTGGCTGCACTAGATCTGTCGTACACGAGGAAAACACTGCAGGTCAACATCAGCAACTGTTGTTGGACATTGGCCGAGTTAGGTGAATGTTTCTGAAACTTCATCACAGACATTCCATGTCTGCCATGCAGATTTCTTTCCTTTCCCACGGAAGCCAGACACAACGTCACAGCCAGTGAAAGCATGAAAGTATAGGATCCCACTAGCTTTCTTAGGCCCTATCGTAAAAACTACATCATCAACTGGAATCCATCGATGACTGACTCCTTGGCAAAAGGCAATCCACATGTTATCAAGACCAAGCTCCTGTAGTGATGGCAGTACAGATACTGCTATGGCAACCACGTCAGTGTCATTGGCTTTGATGATGAGGGACTTGCTACCTTCCATTGCTGCATCCCTAGCATGCACAAATATTCGTGTGTCTGCTTCCTCATGACAGCATGGAGCCACAGCTTCTAGGGACTTCTCTGTGTTGCTAATGGCATCTTCTCCCTTTGTCACAACCACCGTGCTTGTCGTCTGTGCTTCACACTTTTTCTCCACGAGAAAATGGAATAGTTCTGTCTTGTTTTTGTCATCTTGCAGAAAGCTTCTCCAGTTTTTGGGAGTCTTACTGGCTCCTGTAACTGGTCCCCTGTCCTCGTTTCGACCTGGCCTCAGACTTCAGACTTGACTTTTTGTACACATCAAACACTACATCCACCCTATTGTATTTGGTACCATAGAATTCCACTTTGGGCAGGATGTCTTCTCTGACATAGGCATCAAAAGTCTTTGAGGTGCGTGGAGGCATGGCATTGATCAGTGCTGAGCCATCTATGATGATAGCATCTCCATGTGGTTCTCTCTCTGTAGCATTAACTTGTGCTTGAAGAATTTCAGCCAGCTGTGACTTCTGACATGTATGAAGCTTGCCATTGTCACTGAGGGAGGCAGGAGCTGACTGGTTCTCATGCTTGAAGAATTCTTGCAAGTCTTACTGTCTGTTCTGACTGGAGATGAAGTCGCGACAACAGCTGACAGTCATCTTTCAGTACCTTCTCTTTGGAACTGCGAACAACGTGGTCATGTGTGAAGAAGGAGAATCTGTTTTTCTTGGTTGGATGGGAGAACAGACATTTACCTTCATTCTTTAGTCCCTCTAAGAATGACTGGAATTGCTCTTTTCCCCTGTCATGGTGTGTACCAACTATTTTAGCAATACTGTATCTGGATCTACAATGTTCTTTGTGTCTAACACCAGAAGGTCAGATGACTCTTCTTGGAAAGGGTTGCCCATCTCCCGCAGCACCTTGGAATGTGCTTCCACCTTCTCAAAGAAAGATTTCTGTGCACTCAGGGTCTGCTCATAATGTCGGCTGCTGGTGGTGGTTCCATCTTTTGCACCTGACGCAGCTTCATATCCAGCAACAAGACGACTCACTTCAGGTCCAGCCACCATCCACCTACGAAGTGCTGCTGGGTCCTCAGTCAACCCAATTGCTCCTCCATCGCCTTTAATCACTGCATTGTTTTGTTCATGGACTTGATCAATAGCAATGGCAGAGAACTCTCTTCCTGACTTGTGGACAACAAAGTTCCCCTTGTAGAACGCCCTCGCTACCTCTGGATGTTGTTGCTCAAGGCACATCATGTCTCGAAAGTGAATTGGAAGCCATCGGGCATAATTAACATTGTTGTTTTCAAAGAAGTAAGGGATCAGCTCTGAGAGTGCTTCAAGGTAGTTTGAAATTGCCTTCCCTGAATGAGCGGATCAACATGAAGATGGTGAGCTCCATGTCCAGCACAAGGTTCCAGAATTGGAACTGTGAACTCTCAAGCCTCCATTGTTTATACCAGTCTTCAAAGTTGACCTTTCTGACTCATCAAAGCAATAGTCCTGGTATGCCTCCTTCATCAGTTTGTACAAGCTGCATGCTGTGACTTGATGTGCTAGTCTTGTCTTAGTTACACTTGATACAGACAGAAAAGACTCTGCTGTACCAGATGAAGCCACTCCTGCTTCAACAAGGGAACCGGTCCAACCACTGTCTTGTAGCAGCATTCCTAGTGATCTCAGTGCAGCCATCTCTATGTGAAGTCCCCCGAACATAATAACATACCTGTCTTCTCCATACTCAGGTCAATGCCATTGGATTTGTTTTGCCAGGGCATACAGTGGCTGGTCAGCAGCTATGACTGGGATCTGACCTGGGTTCAGAAAAGCCACTGTATCACGAACCTTTTCCTTGACATACTTGATGGTTGCCACAGGATGTGCCTGATCTTAACTGATTTGGGGTTGGTTAAGCAGCATTTGGGACACTAAGCTGTTGCAGTATGACATGCTTTTTCTTAGCTGACACTGAACCCCATGCTGGGTTGCACAGCAGTGATGTCACCAGTGTGCCCTGGTAGTGCCCGACAATCACTCCCTCACATGCAGAGACCCTCTGCATGCTACCCTCACCTAGTTGGAAAAAACATAAAACCAGTACATAAAACCAGTCATAAATAAGACAAATATATACAATATCTGAGAGTATCAGAAATAGAAAAAATCATCTGAGAATGCTTGAAAACATACATATCGATACTAAGATCATTTAGATTGACCAACTACATCAATTTCTATAAAAAAAAAACATCTTTCGAAGGTCAATTTGGCAGCCATCTTGAAAAATGGCCACCATCTTGGATTTCCAAATGGCCAATTAGACAGATTTGACAAGTAGCCCCTAGGGTATGATCATGCTAAATTTCATGCTTGTATCACCATTTGCTCTACTATAAAGCACTACTATAAAGCACCACATCATGGCAGGAGAATTACAAACCTCATTATGAGATCACAAGTCTCCTTGGGTCCTGAGTAACTTTTACATCTGACGTTTGGAAACCTTATACAGTACATATATTGATGAAAATGTTGTCAGCAGTTCATTTCTCAAACAAGTTGATAAAAAATGCAGTTGCAGCTTTAATGCCACCAGTGAAACATCTCAAAATCTTGCCAAGTTTAGCTGTAGCAGTGCTGATCATTTGCCTTACTTGCATATCGAAACCATCTGACTGTAAATAATCAGCTACAGTGATTGTTAAATAAAAAATTTGAATGAAGGTGAAGGCTACTAAGATGGTTTCAAAATTACAAAGACTTTCCATCAATTTCTGCATGTCATACCACACTAATCTTCAAAAGTCAGTTGATTTTTTTTAAGGATAACTAAAAGATTCTTTGACAGGTTTCCAAAACCAACAAAATTATTTTGAGGTGCTCTTGTTTGTGATGTTGTGTGTGTCCCATCTTAGCTTTCATCAGTGGTGTGACATATTGTGTTGGTGGTGTGTAACATCTTGTTCTGGCATGGGCCCTTTGGTCCATGCCAGACTGCCTAACTGCTCAGTCCGCCCAGATCATAACACATTATATCAACAAGGCAAATCTCGTCAAGGGCCCAGGTAGAACACTTATCTGTTAAGGATATTACCATACGTATTGATAATGTTCGGTAACTCATAATATTTAATGATATTGTTTGGAAACTCATAATACTTACCGATAATGATAATTTTCAGTAACTCAGTCTTTATTGATAATGCTCAGCAACAGTGTTTATTGATAAAATTTCATAATTAATGGTTTATATAATTACAGGTATTAAAATACACCATAATGAACTGTAATTGAGGTGGAGTATTTGAACTAGTTATTCCCTGTCACAGGTCAAGTGAGTCGGGGCACCCAGACAGTGTGGGGCTACGGGCGTGGATGCCAGACCAGCCGCACCACCCACACTCAGACCACATGCTTCCACCCGCTCCTTGACACACCAACACCTGTCCTCATCACTCCAAGACCTTACAGTCCTACCCATCACTATGACATCACTAAGGTGAGCAATAGATGTATGCTTAAATATGCCAATGAAACTGTGTGCCAATTATTTTGCATTTCATGTTATTGCAATCTAATTCAAATTCCAACATAAACTTCTTGAATCTATTACAATATTATACATGTTGAGCATAAGGAACAGATCAATGCATGAGTTTACTGCTTTGTTGCAAGATAAAATATGTAGATAGGTCTGGTGAGATGGTGAAAATTGCATGTTATTATTGTTGTAATCTTGTAAATTATAACATTAGACAAGTGTTAAAAGATGGCAAAAATGTACCATTAAGTAAGAGGAAGGAGATAAGTTTCAATGTACATATATGTGTGGACAGGTAATAGCAGTGCAGCAGGCAGTGCGTGGTTGGTTGGCACGAAGGTATCTGCGACACCTGCGACAGGTATCACACTTCTTGGTTCAGAAATTTTGAGAACTCATTTTCACTTATTTAAATGAAAGATAGTGACATATTCAAATGATGCATACAACAACGAAATGTCATAAATAAACGAGCATTTTTATGTAGGTACGAGAGTCTGAACGCTTAGCAACGGTAAAGAGTGATACTAGCAGCCCTACCAGTGTGCAATCAGACACCAGCAGCAGCTCCACCATGGAACACAAGGTGAACCCCTAACATCAACCATCATTCCATCACCAATATGTCAAGGGATCAAGTCCTGCTTGGCCCAGACACATGTGAGAAGGGTGTTATCCAGTGTGACCCTCACTACCACACATCACAGGTTTCCTCTGAGCAATCCTGTTTCCTCCTGTACTAACACTGGATAGACCAATCACCCAGCAACACAAGGTAACCCACCCTCATCCCAGCAACACACGGTAACCCACCCTCACCCCAGCAACACAAGGTAACCTACCCTCACCTTAGCAACACAAGGTAACCCACCCTCACCCTAGCAACACAAGGTAACCCACCCCCACACAACACACGGTAACCCACCACCCCCAGCAACACAAGGTAACCTACCCTCACCTTAGCAACACAAGGTAACCCACCCTCACCCCAGCAACACAAGGTAACCCACCCCACCTCAGCAACAAGGTAACCTAACCCCACCAAGGTAACCACCACCCCAGCAACACCAGCAACACAAGGTAACCTAACCTCACCCTAGCAACACAAGGTAACCCACCCCCACCTCAGCAACACAAGGTAACCTCTACCCTCACCCTAGCAACACACAGTAACCCACCCCACCCTAGCAACACAAGTAACCCACCCTCACCCTAGCACACAAGGTAACCCACCCTCACCCCAGCAACACAAGGTAACCTACCCTCACCCTAGCAACACAAGGTAACCCACCCTCACCCCTAGCAACACAAGGTAACCCACCTCACCCTCCTCACCCCAGCAACACAAGGTAACCCAACCCTAGCACCCCTCACCCTAGCAACACAGGTAACCCACCTCACCAGCAACACAAGTAACCCACCTCACCCTAGCAACAGAAGGTAACCCACCCTCACCTCAGCAACACAAGGTAACCCACCCTCACCCTAGCACCACCCAACTCACCCTAGCAACACAAGGTAACCCACCCTCACCCCAGCAACACAAGGTAACCCACCCTCACCCCAGCAACACAAGGTAACCTACCCTCACCCCAGCAACACAAGGTAACCCACCCTCACTCTAGCAACACAAGGTAACCCACCCTCACCCTAGCAACACAAGGTAACCCACCCTCACCTCAGCAACACATATTTAGAGAGTGATCTGAGTTCACCCTCTGCTATTTATTGGCTCCTCAAAGATCTAGTATCAGTATGAAGATTTGGATCTGTTCCTAAGATTACAATATTATTCAGCTAGTGCCACCAACTGTGGAATAATATTACAGTCATGATAACGTTAAACTATTCATTTAAATAGATTACATAGTCTAATAAACATAATCTACAACAGAGTATATACCATACTGTACACAATACTTAAAGTGGCTGAATGAATACATGTACTAACAGTAAGTTTGGGGAGGGAAGGTAAAGGTACTTGACATGATATGCTCTCCCTCAGCTGCCCATCTGCACTTTTGGTTCCCTGATTTTTTGTGAATACTGTAAGTAAAAAACAAAAATAATTTTAAGAATTTTCAACTACATTACATTTAAAGAAGGTTTGGTCACCTTACCCATGACATTGTCTTTCTGGCCTTACTAGTACTGCATTACTTTATAAAATCTTAAGATAATCCATCCTAATTCCAGTTCCATGCCCATCTTACCTTCTCTTAGTACAGTACGTATTATTATTATTATATACAGTAAACTGAAATATAAACTTATTTTCACCCCAGCAGACATGGCAGCAACCAGTGCCCATGACAGAGTTATACTCACGTCTGGAAAGCTGGCGCAGAAAACAGGTTGACCAGGTGAATGCGACACTGACAGGAAAACAGCGGAGACGGGCACTGGTGGCCCTTCTGGACAAGGAGACTGAGCTGCTAAGGTCCCTGGAGGTTCACAGAGCAGTCCGTTCTGGCAGACGGAGAAATGCTGCCATAGCAAGGTTTCTGCAGGAGGTAATTGATTGTGCCGGCACTTTACCTGTTATAATTAATAAAGTGCATTCTGTTTTTATAAATCAATTCTCATAACTTTTATTGTTCTACTTATTATTTATGAAGGTAGGTACAGTATAAAGTAATCATGAATGTGGTCACCTGTCCTGCTAACCTTAGGTGAATGAAGTCTTCAAACTGATAATTCTTGACTCCCATAGGTGTCACGTGCCCAGGTGTGGGAGGTTGGTGGTGTAATTGGAGGAGGGGTGGAAGTGGAGACACCAGATACACAGCCTATAAGAACCTTGGCAGCTCTTGCCACAGCATTTCAACAAGATGCTACAGCAGAAGTTCGTGCTCAACAGCTCAACACACTCTCAAATACAGTAATTAATATTTTTATTGTTTATAGATTTATGGATGATTTGAAAAAAGAAAACCAGCTAACACAGTAAATTACTATTACAGCACCACATGCTTCTCTGTTACTAGCTTGGACCATATGATGTTAATAAACTCTGCTCTTATATTTGGTTTGTTCTTCTCAGTCTACCATGCAATATGCATGATATTTATTGTTATGAGTGCTGCATTATGTGCCTGGAAAGACTATATGATATGATAATTCATAATACCTGCACAAAAGTAAATGCTAATGTGTGTCCGTGACAGGTAGAGCAATACCACCCCAGCCGTGGTGATGGGCCAGCAAGCTTGCGCACTGCAGCAGAACTGAGGAATCTAGCACGTCGGGGACTGGATCTCTTGTCACGTGGTACCTCTGACAACAGGTTAAGGGGCCTCCGCAAACGACTTCACAGCCTCATCATTACCTATCTCCACCAAGTAGGTCACACCCCACCATAACCCATTACAGTACCTGGTTGGGCATAACCCTGTCAGGTGAGTCACATTTCATCACCATATGAGTCATAACTCATCACCAGGAGTCACCATATTACCAGGTTAAATCAGTGTATTGACAGGTAACTCATAGTCCACCACTAAGTGAGTAACAACTCAAAAGTGAGTCACAACCACACTTTCAGTTGTAAGAACAGACTACCATTTCTTCCTCAGATGGAGGGGACCCCTAGTAAGCCAGAAGCCTGTGTTCTATGCAGGGTTATATGGGATGGTTATTTTTTCTGACTTGACTTTTGACCACTCTCAGGAATCTGCTCTGAGTGCCCTGGAATTGAAGATGGGCCAGAACAACAGCACAGTGATGAACTGAACATCATATAGTATTGCTGTAGTGTTCGTGGTTTATTTTTCATATTTCAGAAAATACTGTAGTTAAAAAAAATTAAGTTTTTCAGTAAAGGCCATCTCATATCAAAAGGTTCTCATGCTGAAGTATTCATTCTTTTTCCTGTAGGTTCAAGGTTGTGTGTCATCAGTGGTGGCACCTCGCTCTATTCGCGCTGCTGGTGCAAAACCTGTTCTGCTGTCTACCCGAATGACCTGACAATATGACTTCAGGTTTCTGCTATGATTTGTGGCATTTTTATCGTCTGACACTCTGTACAAAAAACCATAATCAACATATCCTACAAAGACATGATCATTCCTGCAGTTACTGTATTGTGCTGTTAGGAAAATGTTTGTGTTTGAAATATTTGTATAAAATAACTACAGTATTAGTACAATATATATTTATCAATAGCATATGTTTAATTTTAATGTTATCTTCACCTATGATTTGACCAATCAGAAAATGAGGAGGAGCTGTAGGGAATCTCTCTTGCTGAAATCAGTGAGAAACTTATGATCCCTTGGGTAATAAAAAATGAATTGCAATTTGGGCAGCACGAGGCAAAGTATTTTAACTAAGTTGGCCCTAATGTTCCAGCCTTTTGAAAAATATTGAACAAAAATGTTGCATTTTAATGACATATTAACATCTTGCTCTAACTGACTGAATATCAATTACTGTATTATAGCTATGAGGTACAGTACTGACACTTAAAACAAACACAGAAACGACCTGACGTAATCCATAGAATCTTCAATCCTCAGGACAACCTCAGTCAAGCAGTTGAGACTCTTCACTACCATGTCTCCTGCAAGGTTTCTGGGACTCTCAGGCTTGAACTTGACCTCCTGGTTTGGACTTAAAACTAGCATTTGAACCCCACTCCTAAAGAATGGCAAACGCTTATGAAGTGCTCACAAATTGCATAATACAGTATACTACTCTTTAATACATAAATGATAAAGTGCAGTACTACTCTTTAATACATGAATAAACAACATGCTGTAATAGAATAATTTGCTTATAAAGTATAGCACCAGATTTTGTCACACAAAATTTTCTTGTAATTTACGGTCATATTTCAATAAAAAATACTAATTAACTCTCTCAGTTAAATTTACTATAAACTCACTCTGCAGGTAATCTAGGACTTATTCTTCATGGGTCAAGTCTTCCCAACACGTGACAGTATTCATTTGCTTCCCCTGAAGAACCCAAAATTTGTTCTTAATATTCAATTATACATTCTTTAATTATTTCAATTTCATTCTCCATTTGGTCTCTGAACATTACAAAGTACATCAGACAACTACTGGTAGCTTTATGACTCGCGCCTTTCTTACTTCAAACAATAGCCAAAATAACTCCCCTTTCTACATTTCTGGTCTAATCTGCCTCTCTTATCTCACTGTTTCCTGAAGACTCCACAAAATTAATATTTATCATGATAAGCATACAACTTGCATTTGTAAAAAATAAAGATCAGGGAAGTTCTCAGTATTCTTTGACGACATATAAGTGCAGTAAAGTACTAATCTAAATTGTACAATTGACAATCACCTTCAGAGGGAAAATAGTAGACATACAATATTTTCCAATTTAATTTTGAACAGTACTCACAAAATTAACACTTGTCACAATTAGGGAACTCCAGTACACTCTCTTGTATCAATAATAATTAGTTTTTGCAATGTGTTCATCATAATTCTTCTCAACTTTTCTGTGGTTTCAATCTTCTAAAAGACCATCAAACAACTAACTTGACTGGAATACACTGTGCCAAGTGTAGATCCATATTCCCAATGATCTTCCTTTGCCCCCAACAAATTAAAATTCAAAATGGCTGACTTAACTCATGCTCATTTATGTACTTAGGCATATCTCTTCACTTTCACCAAGAACTTTGAGTGCTCTTGATTCACCATTTTGCATTGGGTTATTAAAGCTGAATTAGAATTCAAACTGAAGTTTTGTGAGCCAAAATATTTGGTTCAAATTCTAATACCTCTACTGTAAATGCCAGCTCATTACTTTCTTAAATCTCGAACTGTGTGAAAAATATTTGCAATCCAATCTTTTTCCTATACAGCACCTCACTTATTCACAGTTATCCCTCTCTCTACAGCAGCTGGACTTGGAGAATCTCAAAAAGCTACCAGAGGCTTCTCTTTTTTCAAGGGCATTAATTCTGTTGATAGTTTGGTAAACCAACATTATAGGCTCTAGAGACAGTGCTTGTTTAGAGTTCATAGAGGATTCAACAGTTCACAATCACACTCACGTTTTCGGGTCTAGGGTTAGACCAATGAGAACAAATATAATGTCCTGCAGGAAGATTTTGGCTGACGAGAATCAAGATGTTGCCTCTACAGTAGAAGGCGATAGTCTGCCCCTCAGGCAGTCACACAGCTGCTACCAGCTCCATCTCGCTTAGTAAGCTATTCTGAGTTGTAAACAGTTTCTTCACTTAACATGTGGCTGGCACGCTGTGCGTGGCAATAACAATACCTGTATATACTGTATAATGTTGTGTATAATAATAATAATTAACGGTTTATTGAAAAAATTCTGCAGCCCGAAGGCTGAAAATATACATTGGACATAAATGACTTATTACATACATTGGTGGTTTAACAAAAGCCTTCATTAGAGAAAGGTAAAGGAACATACAGTGAACATACAGATTAATGTAGGTGTTGAACAGCAAACTTGTAGTGTAGTAACTCCCTCCTAGATGGTGTTAGGAGGAACTCACGTGGTGTAGTAGTTCCCTCAGATGGTGTTATGAGGGACCTGGCGTGGTGTAGTAATTCCCTCACAGATGGTGTTATGATGGACCTCACGTGGTGTAGTAATTACCTCACAGATGGTGTTATGAGGGGCTTCACGTGGTGTAGTAATTCCCTCACAGATGGTGTTATGAGGGACCTCACGTGGTGTAGTAATTCCCTCACAGATGGTGTGATGAGGGACTTGCGTGTGTGTGTGTAATCCCGTTATAATGTGTTCTCATCCAAGTTTAATGGGAAGAAAGTAATTATTACCATGCGTATACAGCATTAAGGTATATGTGGTGCCTTTATTTCGGTGTGTGATGATATGAACGCACTTCTACTTGCATACAGAAATTAATTTATGTGAGATTTGGTTCGACTTGAGGGGATGGACAGATTGTATTGCTCCAGGTCTATAAAGTTACAATTAATTACGCAAATGAATTTTCGAAGGAGTTGCGTGGGTGAACAGTAGTAACCACACACCTGTGCTTGAGCCACAGCCCGAGGCTCTCTAATCTCTTGGCATAAACCTGGAGAGAAATTATATTACCTGCCACATGAAGGGAGTTTTCTATATTAGTCCTCAGGTGCCAGACTAGCTAGTGAATCCTACTTGACTCAGCTGTCACTCCTTCCTGTTGGCCACCATGACTTAACTACCGCTTCCACTTTTTGGCCAGCTTGATTTACCTCCCACTTTCTCCTGCTAACAGTATTTATTATGGGTTATATAACAACTGATTTTGGTAATGGGTCACGAACTAGGTTCGTATCCTGATGTTGATGGCCTATATGTAAAGCGGAAGAGTTAGTAAAACTGACAAAACCTTTATTTGGTGATGATTTTTGAGGTGTCATACCCATCCCATGGGAGAATAAGATGGCATCTTGTTTTGCCTTATCAGATTAAAAGATATTCAGTACAGTCGGCCCTTAACATACGCGGGGGTTAGGTACTGTTAAGAATACGCGTATTTTTGCTGCCCCCCCACCCTAAAAACACCCCTGGCCCCCCATGTCCTTATTTCAGTAAAGAAAAACACTATGTACATGTTTACAAACACTGGTGTCTTTGAAGCTCTCTTGGGGGCCATGGTAAATGTGGGTAGCAACTACAATGCTGATGTCAACACAAGCGTGGTTACAGCGAGACTGACTGACTGAGGGAGCGCGGGAACACAGGGTGGCGTGGCGGGCGATGTGTGTGTGTGTGTGTGTGTGGTGTGGCGGGCGGTGTGCAGTGTGTGTGGTGTCGCGCGCGATTTGAATGTATATTCCTCCGGTGGCAATCTGTGTATTTGCAAATCCGTGTATGTTAAACCCGCGTATGCTAAGGGCTGACTGTATACAGCTCCTCCCCAACTTACAACCTACTTGACTTACGACCACCCGCACTTACGACCTGCCTTAGTCATACCAAAATTTTGTCAAATTACGTATTTTCGAGTCCCCAACGTCATTACACAGAGAAAATGTTCGTTTGTAATTCACTTTAAAATGGCTGGCAAGCTTAAAAGTGAGAGTTTTTTGGTGCCGAGAAGAAAAAGAGACACCCATTTTAGATTTCATTTGTATTATTCAAGCATTTTCAACTTACGACCTGGATTTGGGTCCCTAACCCAGTTGTAAGTCGGGGAGGAGCTGTATATATGATGCATTCACATTGGTTTTAGTTAAGCGATAATCCAGGTACGGTACACAACCATCGGTAAACTGTAAGCCCATCTAATCAAGAATAGCCCATAAAAGTTCGACTAACTTATTTCAATTGGGGTCCTTAGAAAAGCTAAGTGATCAAGGACAGGACACCAGTGACCCTAATCGATTTCACGAGAAATGTCAAGAATGGCAACAAAAAACAATTTAGGTCACCATGATTTACTTAAGAGTAGATCTGAAATATTCCAGGTACAATGTGCTCTGGATGTGGTGGGTATGGGGTAATGGCCAGTGTTATGTGAAATTTCTACCTCAAAAGATTTCTATCCCGGTGATAAACTGCGCATGACCGGCCACGAACAGAACCAGAAAACATCAGTTCTGCACTTCTAAATAGACACTACAAGACCCACCTCTTTACTAAAAATATCAACTTACAAGTGACGGTAGGTGATTTTACTTATTGCTGGTTGATTATAAATATATGCACCTTAAAATAAGAAGGGTATTGATAGCTGTCACTTGCATTTTGCTCCATTTTATAAATTGTGTGAAAAAAGGGGTTGATATTTCACATGGGTAGAAATTTCTACCCCAGTGCTAGACTGTGCATGCACGGCCTTGCTCCATTTTATTGATATTGTTGGGAAAAGGGGGTAGATAATTCAGAGGGGTAGAAATTTTACATGACATGTTGAAGGTGAGAGTGACGTGGCACCATTATTGTCATTCTTGAGGTTTGGCTATTATAAAATGACACTACATCGGGACCTGGGGGGCAATTTAGACCCTGCAATCGTGTGTAAATGAGGCAGAAAGTCAGTCAGATCAGTAACCTGGGACTTGGTCAAAATTTTTGTGATGCCATATGGCAGCAATATCTTCCCAGGCAGTAATACCTCCCTATTTGATAGCTGCCTACTACCTCACAGGAAATATTGCTGTTCATCTGTGGGTTGGACGTTTCATAGTTTACAGCACTTCAACCCCTTGATTCAGTAATATTGATCTAAAGTGACAGTCACACTAGAGTTTTCTGTGTAAGATATCCACAGGCAATAAGTCGACAGCCGCACCCTTATCCACTACCTCCTAAGATGTCACCACACACAACGCTTCCGTGACGCCTGCTGGACCACCACTCCACGACCCCCTGACGGAGACAAGATGATCCTCCCCATACTGGCCAGATATTATGTAAATAACATTGATTATGTGTTAAAGGAATATCCTTCCTTAGGCTTTAGTAAGCCCCTTTATAATAATTATACTGTATATACTTGTCACATTTGCCAGATGCTTCTGGTGTCATTGTACAGGGGTACCTTGTGACAGCACTAGGATCCCGCTTCCTCGATCAAGGAATAAACAATTGAAATTGAAAATTGAATTGGCAAGAAGTCAACGGTAGGATCCACACACCAGCGAAAGGTGCTGTTGGCCAAGCGCCCAGCTTATGCGGCTAGTTTGAGCCCAGTTGGAGCAGGCTGGCTTCATTGTACTGTATACTTCTATGGCAGCATTAACCACTTTTGTGAAATGTGTGGTCCTGTTAAAGAAGACTAAAATGAAAGAGAAACGATTGTAGCCTCTAGGCAATGTTTGTTTACAAAGTGTCACAAGTACTCTAAGAGTTAAATGAAATTCCCATTGTGATGTACTGTATTCTTATAATTTTTTATTTACTCTGACATTTTTTGCTGGTGTTTTGTTATTGAAATATAATTTTTATATTTTTTTTACATTTTAACATTAATAAGAAAAAATATGAATGGTGAAAATTTTATTAATACAATACTCTCTCTCTAGCAAATGTCAACCCACCGTACCGTGGATTTCAAATGCTCCGTATCGTCCCACTTTCGACAACAAATAAGTTGTTGCTGTAGAGACAACTTGAGGAGTTCGTTGAAGAATCAACGCTACAGTGGATTTATTCTGGGTAGAAAATTTAGTGTGACCGCAGCTTTACCAGAAAACTTGAGCATTGCACAATTGCAGAAATACCTCAATGATTTTTCTCTTTTCCTGGTACAGTACAGTACTTGTACATACAATTTTCTGAGGAGCTAAACTCATTAGTACCAATCTCCACACTCCCATCATCGATCTGAGGGCATCCAGGATAATCCATACCTTTTAATACTGTACTGTACAGTAATACATTGTATGTAACCTCTGCTTATTAAAACTCAATTTATATAGTACACAGTACTCTTTGCTACAAATTGTTTTTCTTGTATAGTTAAAAATATACAGCTTCTCGTGTTACAAACAGATGCCTTAGACATTCTCTTAAGGTTTAGAGAATAGATATGACATCACACTCCAGCTCGTCATAATGTGTTCTGAATTAGACAGGCTCAGACTCAGCTTACCTCGTTTTCTTAAACTTTTCTGTCTTTTTTGATCTCGAGTATTTTGGATTAATTTGTAAGTCAATGTAAATCAAGAGGTATATTGTGTGAAATGAAAGTTCCAGTGGAGTGTCATCTTTACTAGAAATTTCTAAGAAAAAAAATCACTTAAAACTAATATAATATGCCTACTTTGCCAAACTGGCCTCAAACTGTGACAAGAATAAAAAAAAAAAATCAGATCTCAAACTTAATGCATAAAAATTGTGTATGAAGTCAGCAAAATAATAAGAAAACTTGACAGCCATATTGCCCAGCCAATGGAATAAGAGACTGGCACCCAAGGAATGAATGAAAAAGTGGTTTTTCCTGCTCAAACATAGCATCATAGCTCAACATTGAAATTACAGAAAAGCAGTGAACTGTAAAAGCAAAAGACTGCATCTCAAAACTTTATAATCATCCTAGATGCCAGAAGCCACTGTTATTAAAGCAATATGCATGGTTCCAAGTCAACATCAACCCCAAAAAATGAATCCATACCTGTGGCCAACCATTTATATAAAAAGCAGTTGACCATAAATCCAATACAGTGGTCCCTCGATTAACGAACACAATTGGTTCCACAGAGTTGGTTGTTAACCGAAAATTTTGTTAACTGAATCTATTATTTCAATGGGATATTGGGTAATTGGTTCCAACTCATAGAAAAAGTATACATACAAAGTACTGAATCCCGGTAATAGAATTAACAAAACATAAAATATAAACTAAATACAGTACTGTACTGTACAGTATACCGTACAATAATAAATAAAAAACAATAAAATACTGTATTTTAACTTACTTTGAGGGGTGTATGTCGTATTCCCGGCAGCTTTGTTGCCATAGCAAACAGCTGATTGTAAAGGCAGTCTATGATGACATGCCATATTCTTTACAGTGCATTGGTTCTAATGCTTTCTTCATATTTATTAATATTTTCTGCACTGTATATTATCAATATGTTAACTAAATTTCAGAATAACCAATAATTTTGATGTAAAAATGCAAAAATATTCAAGAGACCAACAAACTCGATGTTCACTCCACTGTAAACAAAGTTAAACTGAGAAGCATTGGTGGGTGATTCGATCAGCTGAAGGGCACACAAAAACTGTTCCCTGTACTGTATTACCAATATGTTAACTAAATTTCAGAATGACCAATGATTTTAATATAAAAAATGCATAAATATTCAAGAGCACAACTTTCTTGATATTTACCCCACTGGAAACAAATGTAAACATAGAACCAATTACTGTACTGGCGGACCAGCCGATCAGCTTATCAGCCGATGCGCACAACAAAGCGTGTTTCTCATAAGGCAGTCGTTAATGGAACTGGAAATCCTTATGGGAGCCAATTCGTTAACCGAAATTTCGTTAATTGAACCGTTCGTTAATCGAGGGACCTCTGTATATTGTTTTACTGATAATACTATAAAAAAATGTGGGACTCAATGACTAATTTATTATTAGATGGTTTCATCTTGATGGTCTGCCATAGTTGGGGTATATAATACTTGTGACATAAGAAGTGCATTTTTGAGGATAACATGAGCATCCTCATAAAACAATTCCATACTCTGTGAGTCAATGAAAAGACTCATGATAGTGTAAAATGTACATAAGGGTGACATCAGGAAAAATAAATAAGAGCCTCAATAGTGAAGGCTTGGCAGTAAATTGCCAATGAGACCAACAATTGTTACTCTCACATTTTACTAAAATTTTCCTTGCTACAATACCGTCTATTTGAAATAATATAATATATTATAATTACATTTCCAAGATATAGCATCTGTGAAGTTATTCTTGGTAGTTTCCCCCACATTACTCACACTCAGGGGGCCTGAACACAAAGTCATCAACTGAGTGTATGTAAGTACATGGCATGTCTACATCTAAAAAGCTTTTTAATTTCATCTAGTCACTGAATATTACCATTGCCCAAGTTTATATATTCATATACAATTAATGTCTCTTATTACAGAAGACAAGTAAATACAATAATAATTTTTCTTCATTTTTAGTAGCCAATAATGTGCATAAATATGAGTTCCCAGCTTTTAATTATTGTGTCAGATTTATTTATTTTCAATGTACAGTACAGTATTATTTCTTTTTGTGTATTATTATTAAAAATTTTGCTGCTGAATGTGTTTTTAGAGCTAGTTATTTTATTAACACATATCACAGGCAATTCAGTGACTAAGAATTTAATGTTAATACTAAATGGATTGATAGACATTTGGTCAACTGTTAGGACTCATTAGGTGACAATGAATTCAGTCCACAAAGTTTTTATGATGTTTTCACAAACATCATATATTACATGTTACTGACAAAATTTTAATGTGAATGACAGGTGTGAATAATGCTGGTACTGCAGGTAAAGACCCACTCATTATAGTAGGAACCCACTTATATGTTAACTATTCAGCAAAAACTGAATTACGATTGTGAACAGCATATATTTTCCACCAGCACCATTCAAAAACCCAAAATATCTTCACTCCATATTATCAAATCTGCTAAATTTGTTTAACCACCCTATTATAACAAGTGAAAACAAAAAATGTGTTGAACCACAGAAAGAGCAAAAAATTACTTATGATGGAAAAACTGGTCTGTTCTAATTAGAAATACATCACAGACCTGTTCAAAGAGATAACAGGAACAAACATATGTTCCAAGGAAAAAAGTAGAGAGCAGAGGATAGTAAATCATCAACCATTAGCATAGTACTGTACTGTGTCGGATCTGTCGTCAGCACGTGGTAGCAGTAGTTCAGATTTTTATAAAATATTGGCAGGAATATGTGATTCCAAGGGTTCATTCATATAACATATAACTAAGTGACCACTTTAATCTACCAAATACCTAATGGTTTAACTTCATGCTGACCACTGATCTGGTAACTACATGTACTCACTTTTGACCATTTAACCTTGTGGCTATAAGCTGCACCCAAATAAGGATCTCGGCTTTCCACACTAAAAAAATAAAAAAGAAAAAACTTGCTGTACCTTATGTTGTCCAACTTTGGTTAATGCTATCACACGAGCCCCACAAGAGCCAGCCATCTTCATCATTTCCAAGCAGCATCTGAGCTGGAGGAAATTGTCTATATGATCGAGTCAATGTCATGCCAACATTCACTTGGGTATTCATATTCAACTGCATCATCAAGCTGCTCAGTTAAATGTCTTTTCATATCAGTCTCAAAACCTCTTGTTCATCACTCTGTAGCGACTTGTTCAGAACAGAATATCATGTTGCATCAGAGAAGTTTTCTGTAATTCATCATAAATACTCAACAACTTGCTACTTAGTTGAAAATGTTCAAAAACCCAACTTCATAACACTGTGGCATACTTGTGCCAGTACCAAGTCAAACTCACTTATCTGAAAATATTTGAGCTAAGGAATCAATATGACTCTCTTGCTTACGGTGGTTATTGGACAGACGAGTTGTGTCGACTTGAAAATGTAAAAAATAAAAAATAAATAAAAAAAAATAAAAAATAAATAAATAAATAAATCATTGGAATACAAGTCAATGATGCTCTTAACAACATTGCCAAGAGTACACACCCTAACGAGGAACAAGAAATATTTCAGCTATGTGCTCAGTTTTCCATATTTTTGTTAAATTAATACTATGTCCATAAGAATTTTCTATTTTAAAGAGAAAATCTTCATATACCAGTCAACTACTGCTAGCCACATCTCTCTCAACTCAGGTAGTTGTATGTAAACAAAGATGAGGAGGAAAATGAGCATTGCAGAGACAAAAAGACGGGTACGAGTCTGCAGTAGTGGCGTCAGGATGTTGGCCACAGTTGCTACTACCAACAGCAACACCTGAAAGGATGTAATGAAATTAATACTGTACATTTATTAGTATCATTCATTAAAACAAATTTTAACAAAGTCCAAAGTGATTCTTAGTATTTAAATAGGCTATAATCAAGGCAAACTGCATATTCTTGGTCGTTATTCCCATTAAAATTTTCAAAAAGAATATTTAAAAAAACAATCAAACAGGAATGAGTGGGAAGTTATTAGGAACAATCGGTCCCATACTGGTGTGCTTACCTGGAGCACAGTTAGTAAAACATTGATGAGCTTTACAAACACAGCCCGGGCATTGCTGTTCTCTAAACCTTCTAATGTCAGATACTGTTGCTGCTGCTGTGCTTGTTGATGTTCCATCCGAGAGATCTGGCCAAAGTATAAAACAGGACTTTTAGTGGTTTCTAGATAAAAAAAACAAAACAAAATTGTTCCACTAATGTTCTAATAGAGGAATACTTCGCTATTCGCAACCCTGCTTATCCGCAATTTATATTTTAGCATCCCTATTTCATATTTGCAAAGCATACCCCACTTATTCATAAAAGAAAAAATTACGATACCCTACAGCATTACAGTATTTCAAACCAGGCGAGCTAGCCACAGCCCTCATATTCAGATGCAAGGCCCGGTACACAAAGTTTTTTTTTTTTTTGTTCGGTGAATACAGACCCACTCGGTTTCAAAATTAATGAAGTTTAACAGAACACTTTCCCCAAGCCTGTACCTGTACTCCCAAACCGCAGTATGAAAAAATAAGCCGAGCATTCTAGAATTTTTAATATGCCAATGGTAAATGCTAGTTTAAATGTTTACACTCATTTATAAACATACACACACTCACTCGGTGTTCTTTGTGTGTACTGTACCTGTATACTGAAAAATATGTTGAAATATGGAATATAAAGAGCGTAAGTGTGAGTGTGAGTGTGTGTGTGTGTGTGTGTGTGTGTGTGTGTGTGTGTGTGTGTGTGTGTGTGTGTGTGAGTATATGTGTGTTTGTGTGTGTGTGTGCGTGTGTGTGTGTTATTATTTTTCAACTCGTAATTATGAGCAGATTTTATAATTTTATTCCTTTTTTCTCTTACATGCATGTACACAATTATTCATACAGATTGTACAAAAACAAATCTTTACCATTAGGTGAAAAAAATATAATAAAAATTTCTTATGTCTGCAGGAATAAGTGAGCAGATTGTGAGGGAGGCAGAGGGGAGTGGTGAGGAGCTGGAATCTCCGACTCCCCCTACTGGGCCAAGCTGTGAGCTCCGTCAGTTAATTTTCAACTTATTATTTTGCATAGATATGCCTAATTTTTTTTTTTTTTTTATACTGGTACATGCATACACAATCGTTCCCACAGAATGTGCAAACAAAATAAATGATTATCATATGGTCAAAAACATTAATGGAATAAACAGCATTTTACATTAGTAGTACAGTAGTTAGCCCATAGTGTGTGGAAGGAGGGACCGAGGGAGTAGTGTTGGAGATCTCAGTCTCCTGCGTGGAGTGAAACTATTGCCAACAAGAAATGCAGTATTTTTTCTTTTCTTTTATTTATTAGTATAATTTTGATTTATTCCTCACATTTACGTACAGAATTTTGGTAATATGTACATATTTATCTTATATCCAACATCTTTTACAGGTTGCATACTGTATTTCATTTTGAGTTTACACATGTAAAATTCCAAGATTTGTTTCATTAATCTTTCACTCATGTTTTTTCCCTTAAGAAATGAAAAAAGTTAAATACCTGTACAGTACTGTAATTCCAAGACTTTCTGGGAGCTATGTCTCTACTATGAACTCTCTCTGAATACATTACTTCCATCATTCTCTGTACAGCATGCCCTTCACATTCGCGGGGGTTAAGTTCTCAAAATGGCCGCGAATCACCAAATCAGTGAATAACATATGCTGACCAGTGGGAGGGGTTACATTTTTACTTGTGTACAAAGAAATGTATATTCCCTTATGTGTTTGACCTTAGGATAATTATTTCTTTTACCTGTATTGTACATACGTGTGTGTGTGTGTGTGTGTGTGTGTGTGTAGACACACACAAAACACATACAAATAAATAATACTTGTAATGGGAAAATCCTCTCACAAATGATCAGAAACAAATTTATTAAAAATGTGACAGTCTACCCTCAAGTCTACTCCGTTCTTTGTTATTAATAAAGCACAGAGTAGACCTGAGGGTAGACTCACATTTTTAATAAATTTGTTTCTGATCATTTGTGAGAGGATTTTCCCATTACAGGTATTATTTATTTGTATGTGTTTTACAATACAGGTAAAGGAAATTACTGTCTCTTGAATGAATGGCTCCCTGTCCCAGCCGTGAAAATGCCGGTAACTTTAAAACTACCCGCAGACATTCTTGGGTACATCCAGGGTATCATCCGCAAATAATAGAAGACCGAGAAATAAAAATCCATGAATTATCCGGGCATACTGTATTTTTATTCATTTTTGTCATTCCAAATTTCCCTACAATACCCTCCCTTGATTTCTATAGGTTTCAAAACTTCTCCACTTACTTCAGTATCAAAATCAAATAGTAATTTAATATTAAAATTAAAGTCTAACCTGTGTTTTCATCTGTACTCACCCTGGTGTGACAGTTTTCCACAATCTCATGAAGGTCCCGTATCCGTTCTTCACTCTGATACTGCACCTTTTCTTCCATATCTGCCATATTGGTCACAAGAATTGCCATCTCATTTTGATGTAGTTCAGTTAAATCATTTATTTGTTCTTCAAGCCTATCACATCGGAATCGTTCTTCTGCTAAACCATCACGCATTGAGTTCACTTCAGCTCCTAATGCTTGCTGCATAAAATGAAGTGGAATAAAGAAATTAATTTTACAAAAATAGGAGTAAACTTGCACCTGTAATGGCAATAGTGGGTTTTATAAAGAGTTATAGCATGTGATGGGTGTAACGTCAAGTGAATGGTTGTAGTCAGAAATATATACATCTGTACATTTAATATCAGTGTCAAGGAAAGTAGAACATTTTTATTTTCATTCTTTGAGGTATCTGGTACAGTATATCCTCAGGTGTCTCAAGGCCACACAGTATAGTACTGTACTTTCAAGGCAATGGGTGATTTGCATACCTAATTTGGTATAAAAGTAAATTACAAGTACATTTTACAGTATAGTACGGTCGGCAGGGGTGCAGTGCTGCTGGAGCTCACTGGAGTGTCGCTCCGGCACCTCTGTTTTGATCACTCAATCAATATCGCCGACGCCTTGTTCCCTCCCGGGAACTCCCCAACAGAAGTGTCTCCAGGCCATTTTATCCTTGCACACCTCACTTGCTCTCTCAAACACTCTTCCTCCCCTTTCTGCTCTCTCTTCAACAAACTCTCTTAACTCTTTTCTCCCAGGTGGCAACTGGTCTACCCCTCCAAACATTACCCTCTCTATTGCTATCATAAACTTTTTTGTCAGCCTATCTTCATGTATCCTCGGCACATGTCCATACCACCTTAGTGTATTCCTCTTCATCCACGCCACCACACCACACTTCACACATGAAGTTATGGTAAGCTATAAATCTATATCAATCAAGCAATCACTTTATTTTGCATTAATAATACATATACAAAACCAAATATATCCTCATATAATTAATCTCTCCTTTAGATCAGCTTACATTCTATGACATCAATATTGGAGAAAGACTTTAATAACAGGTGTACTTTTAAACACTTCAAAAACATTACTTTTTCAAAAGTAGGTATGTATTTCCCTTTTCCCGTGTGATTTTGTCAATATATATATATATATATATATATATATATATATATATATATATATATATATATATATATATATATATATATATATATATATATATATATATATATATATATATATATATATATATATATATATATATTGATAAAATCACACAGGGAAAAGGGAAACAACGGAACACCTTAGCTTTCGTCTTTATTCAAGACATCCCTTCCATTCCATTCCTTGATATGCTTATCATTAGAAATGGCCATAACTACAAATTTAAGGTGTACAGAAAGCCTACACAGGTAGACAGTTTCATACATTTTTTATCGAGTCACCTGGAGTCTACCAAAATGTCAGTTTTTTTCTGCTATGTTTTTGAAATGTTTGCGTATTTGTGACGCTGAATTTATTGATGAAGAATTGAAACACATTCGTTCCATTGCACAAAAACTTGGATACCCTCCTGTGTTTGTTGATCATTGTTTTAAAAGGGTCAAAAAATCCTTTCATTCTACTCAAACCAGGCAAATTCCTACACTTAAGAATATTTTGACTCTGGTTGGGTACACGGGGATTGGGGTTGGTTCTGAGGCAGAGGGCAGATTATTGGCCCTCACCTGCATCACTATCCACCACAGAGGCTTGCAGGGCCTCTTTGTCAAACCCCTCAAAGTCCATATCCTCACTATCAATGACTTGGGCTGGCTGTGGTGGGTGGCGGGTGAAGAACTCGGTAATGTTTTGTTGACTGGGCGACCTTGTGCGCACCCTGCCCGCGCCGCTTCCCGCGTAAATGATGGAATGAACCGCGTGAATAAAAATTGTCGGTCTGGCAAGGTACCGCGTAAATGACCAAATGCGTAAACCAAATCTTTAAATTGAGACTATACTGTATAGCGTTATTTTTTTTATTTCGCAAGGGAAATCAGGCAGGAAATATCTAAAATGTATCACCATGGCAAGCAAATGCGTTATTTGCTCACCAGAGGCGCCACCGTGGCTGCTCAGTCACACATTCACGCTCGCCCGCTCAGTCTTTCTGAGTGAGTGACGAGAAAGCAGCCGACTCTGCTGCAGATTATGACTTCTAAAACGAGTGTAAATGGGTTGCTAGTGACGTGAAAAGTGAATTGAAGAGAATGTAAAGTTTAATGGAAAAGATTTAATACTGCAACTAATATTTTTGGTGTTCGTTTATGTAAATGTGGGATTGTCAAGTGAGGGTGGCAGTGTGGCATCTGCTGGCGAGTCTGGTGTTCCCAGGATGGTGCATAAGCTGCCGAGTCTGGTGTTCCTTGATATTGAAATAGCCTGTTGTTCCCGAGTCTGGTGTTCATTGGTGCTAAGTTAGTAAGAAAATGAACTCATTAAGTCAAGTTTAGTCACTTTTATTGGCCTCCAGAACCTAACCCTATTTTCCCCATTGATTACATGTAATCATATACTGTATAGCGAACATCGTTGGATCCTATCGTGCGATATTGTACTGTACTTTGTTTATGAAACATTTGGTATTTCAGATTTTGTCTCATATACAGTAGGTAGTATTTGAACCCGAGAAAATTCATGACAAAGAATTTAGATTCTCCCAAGAACTCTGCCAGATATTCAGTCATAATGCATATGTTTTACACTTTGTGGAATGTGACATCTTTTACATTCCACTGGTTGTGGACATGTCCTATAATTTTCAATAGTAAAGTTACAGAATAAAATATTATAAAATTTTTTCTGAGAACGTGATCTCATCAAGATATAAATTACAGAACATGAAGCTTACATAAAGAGCCTTCACCTTCTCTTCCAAAGTAAATATGTTTATAGCTGATAATATACATGTACAGTATAGTGAAATTTTTTGTTTTACTTTTTTTGGGCTTCAAGTACAATACTTACTTTTATTGTATCTATTTCTTCTCTTAGTCGTGCTGATTCGTCTCTGCTCTCTCTTAGCTCCATTAGCAGCTGTTCTACTGTTGTCCCTCCAGGCACGCCATAAAAATCACCACTTGTCAACTGTAAAATAAGTATAAAACTTCAGCTTACAAGAACTGTACAGTATTGTGAAGTCTGAACTCACTTCGTTTCATTAACCATGATTTGAATATAGAGGCTGTCTACATAAATGGAACCTAACACGACAGGGATTGGGGTGAGTTAGGATTAGGAAATAGCTACGAGAACTTGTTAATTTCTAGCTTTAAGAATGCTCTTACTTTATAATCCTAACTGATCCCTAACCCTACCCTATTTGGTTTCATTTATATGGAATTCCCTGTAATTTGCTGATCTATCAGTATGTTTTGGTTTATATTTGCAGGTCTTTGTTTTATAAGGATTGTGTACCTATTCCACCTCATTTAAATATTATTTTATGAAGACTGTTAGCCATTATACATGCAGTATCTAGATAATTCTTGAACATTATTTTATCTTGTGTTTTTCCTGTTTTTGTTTTACTTTTATTTTCTGCATATTTTTGTCAAAGTATTACTATAGTACATTGCGTACTTCTTTTCACACAGGGTTCTCTATGTAACCTAATGTCAATTCATGTGGTCCAAGCCTTACATGCAGAATCCTCACCATCATTGTGTACTGTACAGTATATTGTACAATAAATAAAAAATAAAAAATATTTTAACGCTTAATTTGAGGTGTGTATGTAGAATTCCCGGTGGCTATATTTACATAGCGGCAATGCAAACAGCTGATTGTAGATACAGTTGATGACGACATGCCATTTTCTTTACAGAGGGCATTGGCTCTAATGCCTTCTTCGTATTTCTTAATAATTTCTTGTTTCACTTGAATTGAAATCGCCTTCCAAGATTTCTTTGGACCCATGCTTGATAATTTTACCAATAAAATTTTAAGTTCACAACAATATATTTAACATATTCCAGATATTTTTTATTTAAACCAACAATGCACTGTATGTTATCAATATGTTAACTAAATTTCAGAATGACCAATAATTTTAATGTAAAAATGCAAAAATATTCAAGAGCACAACTTTCTCAATGTTTACTCCACTGGAAACAAAGGTAAACAGAGAACCGATTATTGGCGGACGAGTCGATCAGCTGATGCGTGCACCTAAATATGTTTTTTATAAGGCTGTTGTTAATAGAATTTGTACTCGTTAATAATAACTGAAAGTCCCTATGGGAGGTAATTCGTTAACTGAAATCTCATACATGTAGATTGAACTGTTCGTTAATGGAGGGTCCATTGTATTGATTTATTCATTTATAAGGTGACTGCATTTTTTTAATGTATTTATTTTTGGGGGAGGAGCCCAAATAAGCCTGCGTATGAGGTCCAGTGGGTCTTATGTCACCCGGGCTTTAAGGGTCAAGATATATGCTGTATTGACATATAAATCTCCTATCCTATTTACATCTTAAGACATATTGTTTTGCCTAGAAACTTCCCATCTTTGTGAGGATGGTACGATGCAATGTTTTACCAAAATATCGGGTCTAACGAAGATTTGGGACCCCACTTTTTTCACCAAACATAACTTAACCCCATTTAATGTTAGGGAATTTAATCAACAGTAAGTGGAGGGTTTCTACTCTGCACGAGGTCCAAAATATCTAAACCTTGAATAAGTGTTTTAAACTCTTGAAAAGGTCAAGAAACTAAGGCACGTGGAATATTTACAAGTTATTATTCACATGAAGTGATCATTGTGTAGGTAAAGCAGTTGTTCTTTACTTTTTGTGGAAATTATTCCACTAGGAATCTATGAGATGTTAAAATTAGATATGACATCTTACTTTAAGGAACAATTCATTATTGAATGTACAGTAGCTAAAACAACTACCCGGTATCTGTGCAGGTGGGGGGTCGATATGCTCCAAAATTTTACGTGTGATGAGTGACAGGTCTCATATACCAAAATTTATCGTCCATGGTCTCATATTGTTCCCACAAAGTGAGCACAGATAGTTGTTTTAGCTACTGTACAGTATTTGTTGTCATGGTTAAGTCAGAGATTTCTCAGAATAATGTTTGTTATCTCTGATTAACTTGGTGGTGATGGTCTGATCACTATTATTAGTTATTTAACAAAGGGTGATGAGTAAGCCAATTACCTGGCTATGGTGGTTCCTTGGTGATCCAAGATGAGCCAAAGTGGTGCTGCCTCCAGGAACACTTTCACTAGTGATGGAGGAATTACATTCGGAACCTTCTTCTGAACCAATCTTACTTCCATGATGGCCTCCACCACTGCTACTTCCACCTGCTCCTTGAGCTGATGAACTCTGGTGGTGACTGCTGTAAACAATCAAATAATGGCATTCAACGAGTTACACAAAAAATATTTTAACAACTCATACCCAGGATGTGAAGTTTTTTCCATTTGCTATGTGATGTATAATACCAAAAAATTCACTTCAGTGAATATTGTAGTACGACAGGAAACTAAAGTGTGTTATTGGTAAAAGGTTAGTGGAAAATTGTTCTAGATCTCAACCCAGACAGTAAAGCCTTCAAATAATCTATACAAAATAAATGCCCTCAGCAAGTACACCAATCACACCAGTTGTGAATCTGTAGAGCTAAACTTCAAGGCTAACTTAGGCCTGAAGTGGCAACAGTCTGCTAAGCATGCAAAGCTAAAGTTAACAGCAATATTATTGGCAATAGGCTGGTAGGGTTTAGTTGTACATGGAAGCATTACTGCAAAAGTTCAGGCTTTGCAAAAGTTCAGGCTTTTCTGAGAGAAGACAATTCTTATTGTCCCATTTGTCTCAATGAAGATCATTTCCTTGCTTGATTTAAGAGTTTTGGTAAGGACTTAACCTTGGCATAACACAACTACATGCTCTTTACAGACTTTTAGAGTGGAACTCTTCATTTGTATTTTAATTGAGCAGAAACAATAAAGACTTTTCATATTTCAAAATTTGAGGGATTACGCCAAGAACTTCTGAAATATTCCTAGTTATATTGTATGTATCCAATATCCCAAATCTTGAAAATTTAACCCTTAAGCCCCGGGTTAGAGTGCTGCTGGCAGTACCCCCCTCCCCTCGCAGGGATAAATAGACAAAAATCAACTTTCCCCCCTCAAAAAAAAAAAAAAAAAAAAAAAAAGTAGCGGGAATAGGCTCGACGTTCTAGAACGTCACCTGGGGCACGCTGGTCGGACGTTCTGGAACGTCACCCGGGGCCTAAGGGTTAAGCCACAAAAAAATATTTACATGCGATTTGAGAAAAACTGCATGCAATTGGTGTACCAAATTTGACTGTCATCCGTAATTATTCTACAGCTACAAACCAGTGAGCACCTTATCATTTTTAAACCTTTGTTCAGGGATCTACAGTGTATCTACAGTTGTTCTAATGACTTAACACAGTGAGCTCATTACTCCTAAGTATCTCATATGTAGTAACAATTGGATCTTCACATAAAGCTAGCCAAGTTGTTGATTACCGCAGGCCTTTTATTAAAGCTCGAGGCATTTTTCATTTGTTTGTTTAGAACAGCAGTCTTAATATTAAATTCAATAAGATATTTTACCTTGGGAGATTGCTCCCTTGATTAGAGGAGGTAGGAGGTACCAAACTTGCACCAACAGGTAATGTAGCTGACCCATGATGCACACGCTCTTCGTCACGCTCCTCCTCCCCAGCTAGCTCCTTGATATTGTCCGCAGAACCAAATTTGTTTTTGATCAGGTGTGCTATCTCCTTAGGTTTACTGATGACCGTCCTAAGGAGAAAATGGTGTGACTTGATACTTCCTACTTGTGCAATATATAGTGGTAAGCTTATATGCATCTGATATCTGTACATCAGAAATCAGATAAGATAGTTTGGTCTCCCTTGGAAACACAATGAGACTAATATTCTCTCTCCTGTTTAATTGTTTGTTTTCATGGACACAGTCCTTTAACTTTTACCACACTGTTTTTCCAAATATTTTTAATTTTCCTTTTACTGTATGTGTGTTTTTTTAGTCAATCTTCAATTTTCTACATTTTTTTTATTAGTGCAAGTAGTGACTACCGTACTCACTTTGAAGCCAAACCAATATACTGTACTGTACTGAATGCCAGAAAATGGTTCAAGCATTGCAGCTGAACCTGACACTGAAAGATTCGACGATGGTTAGAAGCAAATATTTTGTAGAAGATGCTGCAAGCACTACTGTACTTCAAGCTTTTCATTGGTAGTCAGATATAAACTGTACCTCAATCTATTTAAAATACACTGTAAACATCATACTGTACTACTTGTCATTTCACACAACAGGGCAATTTTTGTTGAACATTTTTTGGATTTCACAGCTGAACTTACCTTTATCATCAAATTGCAAACCCTGTCTACTGTACACACAACATTTCAATCACTGTAAACATTATACTGTAAGAGACACAGCTAGATGCACAGTACTGTAAGCTCCTGCTTCTTAAGCAATGTGTAATCTTGAAAATGTGATCATTGGATGAATTCTCATTCAACAGGACCCATTTACCCATAAAATCCCATGTTAAAAGCTAAACCCCCATATTTTTTTTTTACCCCAAATCCAAAGATTATCACCCCTAAGATTGGTCACTGGTTCATGTATTGGCTGCAATGACAAGAACCTATCAAAAAACATGCAGTACAGTGCTGTACTGTACTTACTACAAAAAAATTGTTTATCACCGATTCCTTACAAAAAATCATAGGACGTACAGCATCGACCCTAAACAAGATAAAACAGCACAACCGCACCAGACGACATTAAGCTCGGAGACTCATTCCTGTCCCTCAGTTTTAGCACGGGGAGCAAACCACTGTCTGCGACTGTACAGTACCTCAAAAAGTATCTGCCAGGATGGGTACGATGGCTTCTGATATGCTACATGCAACTTGTGATGTCCCGGGAGGGTTGGTATGCGTGGCTCTGTGCTATACTGATCCTACTACATTTGGTACCCGAACATCGTATTAATTACACCCAAATAAATACATTTTGCATTAGTTATGTTAAACTACTGTATACCAAAGTAAATGCATGTCCCAATACTGTATCTATCATTCGTGGTCTTTAATGTTTCACACAGTGTAGTCAGATACTTTTTGAGATACTGTATAATACAGTACAATAAAATACAGTACTGTATGCAGTTTACCACACAGTAAATATCTTAATATGAAGACTTTAACTTTAAGTTTTCACTACATGTTACCGTTTCATGAAATTGTACAGTATTAATGTTAGACAGTAAGTAATAATGAATTAATATATTTTGAAGATCCAGTGATGCCATGCCAAATGTTTCTACTAACACAACCATGCACAAACATGGGTAGGAAGAGAGACTAACATATACTGTACGGTATCTAAAAGTTCTCCATACCACATGAGGTTAAAGGAAACTTACTATGGTAAGTAGCCTGAATAAGTATAAGTAGTTTTCATAAATCACTTTAATTCTGGTGAAATAGTTTCTATAAATAAACTAATATATTATTTTACAACTGTATTATAACTACAGTATTGATATTATGAAATCACGGAGTCTTTCAAAATAAAGTACAGTATACTGTATCAACTGAATGAGTGACAATGTGTTGCCATCATTTTGGCAGAGAGCTGTTTGCTGGAGTCTGAAGCCAGAGCTGCTTAAGCCACCATCAAACAAAGAGAGCATAGTACTTTTCTATTATGTTAATATTAAGAAGAATCAATGTAGCTACAACTTCACACTGGCTGAAGCCTTAACACAATTTCATTAAAGATTCATAGCTCTTTCCTGCTGAAGTCAGCTAAGTATCTAGCAATTTGTAGATTTTGTAGGATTGGAGTTGAGGGGAGGTCAGCCTCCATTACAAAATTTCAATTCATTTTTATTAATGCTGGTTAACAATGTAGTTTTGGGTAGTGTTGAAAAAGTTTAAGAACACTGTCCTATACCCATTCATTCCTTGCACTCCTTATGTTGATTCCCTTAAACAACCCCACATTTCAAGAGTCATCAGCCCCACCACATCAAAGGTAAGTAGTTTTAGAGAAGATTTATATTTAAAAAGTAAATGGATAGAGAAACATTCAGGTGGGTTGCAGGAAAGGTTAAGACTATAACCTTCCTTATAAAGTCAAGGGAAAAAATACTACAGTTAACCACCATATCAGCAACTTAATGGTTCCATGGAATTTAAAAAATTATATTAGTTGTACATTACAGGATTAATGAAATACAAGGTTACCAAGTAAGAGCCAAAAAGACAGAAAATGAAATGGCAAAAATTCATGTTCTGTAATTAGGAATTGGTTACACTTGGAAATTCTGGATATTGCTTAAGCCAGAATTTTTAAAAAGTTACAATTACAGTACAGTATACTTACTTAAGACCCTGACCCATATCCCGCAGCACCTCTTTGGGCTGCCGGTGTGCAACTATCAACCCATGGGTCTCTATTTCATGTAATCTCTTTTGGTAATTTTCTAGTTTCTTCTGAAGTTGCTGTATTAGAGCAGCTGACTTCTGGTTCTTCTTCTCAAACACCGTCTTGATGCGAGCCATTTGTTGGCGGTCAGCATTAGCAGCAAGCTTGAGGTATTCATTGACATTTTCTGTATCGAGTAAAAAATATATTCATTAAGAAAATCAATTATTTTGATAACTGAATACATGAACAAAGAATCTGTTGCTTTGTTTATGGGCTATACAACTTGTGCAATGTGGGGGGCTTCTTTGTCAGGATTTATGAAGGATTGAAAGAAATCTAATTGAAATAACATAATCCATCTATTTCACTTTCAATATAATAACTGTACTGAATAAACTGATTCTTGTTCAAAAGGCTTCCAATAGGTCCAGGATCTGCATCAATTATACATATAGTATTTATCATTTCAGTTTAATAGCCATCCGGGTGGTTGGTCTATCCAGTGTTATTACAAGAGGATACTGGAGTGTCCGGAGGAAACCTGTGATGTGTGGTAGTGAGGGTCACACCGGATAACACCCTTCTCACTTGTGTCTGGGCTAAGCAGGACTCGATCCCTTGACATATTGGTGAGAGATATGCAAGTTATAGCTCAGGGCCGCCCCTGCTATGTGCGGTCCATGCAGCTGCACAGGGCCCCAATCACTTGTTGTTTTGTAGGATTCGTATTTCAATTCTGATGTGCTGTGTAGCGTGAGCATTTCAGAACTACAGGCGAGTGCGTTTCAGCCATCTGGCACCAGTAAGTCTGGGCTTTGGCAGTTTGTGTCTATAAAAATCTGTCAATGTTGTCAGATTTGCACAGGAATCAAGAATATTTGTGGGTGAGGGACTGAGCACGATGGGATGGAAACCTTGGGAGGGATGTCTAAGGAATGGGGGCCCCCAACCATTATCTTGCAGTGGGCCCTCAGAAGCTAGAGCTGGCCCTGTTATCACAAAATGGTTAGGAAGCTGTAATATACTGTATTGTATTGCTTTTACATAAATTAGTGTACAGGGTACAGGTATAAGTTCTTCAGAAAATTTTACTTACCATCTCGTGCTTTTTGTTCCTCTTTAATGAGATCTTTAGTTTTCTGTATCTTAGCCTGGATGTGTTCCAGGGCTTCTCGTGTGCGCTGGATATGTGGAGTATGATCATCCACATCGTCCACAGACCCAATATCACCTCCACTAACTCTAAAAGGCTCTACCAACTCCCCGGAGCCATTGGACACCCCTGACGATGGCACCGTTTCCTGGAATATGAAGTATTTTAGAAGTACTGTACAGTATTGTCTTCACACCATCTAAGATTTTGTAGAGCATAACTTAAATGGCAAACAAACTGACTGTTGCATAAGGGTCTCAGGACTCCTGTTGCTGCAATGTAACCAAAATAGGCCAGAAGTCACTAAAATATGAAAGTTAACAACTGTACTGAGTTTGTCTGAAGTATTGTTTGGCTACATTCACTCTCTTAAATTTTGTTGAGAACTATCTGGACGGACGGACGCAAGCAGGCAGGCAGGCAGGCACGCAGGCAGGCAGGCAGGCAGGCACGCACGCACGCAGGCAGGCACGCAGGCAGGCACGCATGCACACACACACACACACACACACACACATATGCACGCACATATGGGTGGTCCAACAGAAAGACAGTATACAGTATTCACACACATACCATTGCTAACAATTCTCAACTTAGGTTCTGAACTACTATCACTGTCCATTTCAATACACTATTTTCTTGATTATCTGAAGCAGTTTTTAAAGTAAAAAAATCTTTATGGCAGCTTGATATTTTTTATTAATTTTTTTTAATCAGCTGTTTAGCAGAACTCAAAATTAGGTTTGAATGTCGGTTTTAAATTTTTGCAGACGAAAATGACAGCTTTCACCTGGGAAACAAACAAGCTGGTCTAGTTACTCACAGCATCGCAGTCCTCATTGGAGGAATGTGCTGCAGCATCTTCATGGTGTGCGGTAGTGTTGGGCAGGCGGGTTGACCCTCCAGTACCACCACCACCAGCACCACTGCCACCACCAGCTGTCCTGGGCTGGTGCGGCGTGGCCTGCCCTACTACCCCGCCACCCGTGGTCGCGTTGTTGTTGTTGCTGCTGGTTACGGCATTCACCTCGCTCCCACCGCTGCCTGTGTTGGCTCCTCCCGTCGGGGTCGACTTGCGAGCAGCCAGAGGAGACCGACGTCTCCCGCTCCCATGACCGCTGCCTCCCACCTCGCTCGAACTGCACTTTTTCCTGCATAGACAGAAAATAGCGCCATAAGTACATTTTAAATCTTGCATTCTACCTTTGGAAAAAGAATTAGGTCATAAGTTACAAAGCAAACTTTCTTTATTACACTGTATAAGCTTTGTCACGACATATTCTTAACTATTTTAAGTTTACGATAAGATTTTTCTAATACCGTACAAGCTATGAGTGGCTGTGACCTCACTTAAGGGTCAACGTTAGAGAAGAAGTGAGAATGCTCATCTACCTCCCACGGTAGGGTGCTTAATGTCTGATAACATTATTACAACAAGTGGTGAGGAAGCAGCAGCATGTAGGACATGAATATAGTAATATGTACAGTAAATGCAAATAATTGTGAAAAATAGAACACAGCTGTTACCGACCCCACACTTCTTGCTCTGAGTTGCCTCAAAACTGCCTTCCTGGCACTACTGTACCCTCACTCTTATAATACAATACTGTTCTGTACACTGTCACCACCTCTAAGAAACATTTGTCCAGCCACCAGACTCATACAGCCCAAGAGATATTATCTGTTAATTAAACATCATTAGAACATATCATACTTATTTGAAACTTCATTGCAGTATCAGTAATGAACTATGATCAACATTTTTAAAAGTGTTCACATTCACAAGTCAGCTTTCAACAATTCTAGGTGCTGAGAAATTCTCAGGAGCATGTTAATCATAAAACTTAGCATGACATCCCTTTAATGGTACCCAACATTTTATATCTATCAATAATAACTACAATTCCTTACTCTGAAAGAATATTTAATTTGATTAAACTACAATAAATTACTAATTTATGGAAAAATAAACATCAGTACAGTATTACTTTTCTTGTTTTCTTCAAGATATTTGTTACCAGAGCATTCACATGCTAATTTTTGCTTCTCCAAGTGCGGAAATTATCAGAGATAAACATAGTACAGTGGTCCCTCGGTTAACGAAATTTCGGTTAACAAATTACCTTCCATAAGAATCTTCAATTCGGTTAACGAAATTCTTACGAAAACATGTCAACATGATTAGGCTTGCTCACCAGCTGGAAGATTAGTCCGCCAATACAGTAATCGGTTTTAGGGCTTACATTCGTTTCCATTGGAGTAAATATCAAGAAGGTTGTGTTATTCAATATTTTTCCAAGTTTTATATTAAAATTATTAGTCATTTTAACACTTATTTAACATAATTGCAGTACAGAGAACTAGTTTTTGGTGCGCCCATCAGCCACTTCACTCACCCACCAAGGCCTCAGTTTGTGTCTCTGTTCAGTAGAGGAAACATCTTGCTTGTGGGTCTCTTGAACAGAGTATTTTTACGTTTTTACAGTACAATTATTGGTCATTCTGAAATTTATTTAGCATATTGACAATATATAGTGCAGTGCAGTGTTGATTTAAAGAAAATAATCTTGAATTACACCCAGTGAACTTAAAATTTTATTGGTGAAATAACGGCATCAAGCATGGGGTGATTTCTCTTCCATCCCCACTTCCTTCTCTTCTCCCTTCTCCTCTACCCCCACTTCTAATTCCCATCATCATCATCAACCAGGAGCCTTCTACATACACACCTCAAAGTAAGTGTACTTTACTGCATTTTTTTTTTACTTTGTATGTACTTTTCGGTGAGCTGGAACCAATTACCCAATATCCCATTGAAACAATGGATTCGGTTAACGAACGACCTTCTGGAACGAATTGTGTTCGTTAACCGAGGGACCACTGTATAGTCATTATCCCTTAAAATAACATAATATCAATACAATAGATTAAACAGTGAAGAACTGTAGTGATTCTTCCCATGACCCCAGGCCTCTGTTGCAAGCTTTGAGTGAACAAAGGATTTGTTGACGCAGATCATAATTACATACTGTATTGGCTTGTAGTTAGTAAAATAAATTGTCTGAAGAATTGGCGATGGCTAGGATTCCACGTGCCCTAAGAACTGTCAACCTTCTTAGTTCATACCAATACTGTATTCTAAAGGGTTTGGTTGAAGACAAGAATGGTAGTCAGGACAAACTATGAAGTCATGCGACTGGAAATAAAAAAAGTTGGCGACAAGTATAATATGAAACGATAATAATACCATGTTACCCAAACCACACATGGAACACTACCAATTTATCATAAAAATAATAAACATCTCACACAGCTTAATTCCAATAGCTCAAGTACTGTAACTATTTTTTTCTTCTGGAATAACCTATTCAATTGAACTGAAAGCCAAAAAAGATTAGCATTGTCTGATTTATGAACTATTAAATATCCAGTCGCAATCATTATTTTTTTTTACTATACAGTGGGGTATGCTATAACGAACGGATCCTACTACGAATATTCCTATAATGAACGGTTTTATCTATAAAATTGAGAATGCTATAACGAACGAAACTCCTACAACGAACATTATTTTAATTTTTTTTTTTTTTTTACTAATTTATTGTTTTTTTATTACAAGTATTAATGATATTCTTTATTTCAGGGGTTTAGATGCATATGTATGCACTTTTTTACAATTTTTACAATTTTATATTACTGTACTGTATATTTTTCAGTGCTAAGTGGTTGTATTTGGGGGCTTGGAACGGATTAATCCTATAACGAACGAATGCTATAACGAACAAGGTTCTAGAACCAATTAGATTCGTTATAGCATATCCCACTGTATACTGTACAGTATATTTCCCAAATTTTCTGAGATGCCTAAATTTCGTTCAAGAATAATAATTTATACAGTATAAAAAACAAGCATGCTTTACCACGTTACCTGCCCAGATACATCTCTTATACCTCTAAACCTGACTTGTTCTTATACAGACTGAGCATGTCTTGATATCTACGGGTAACCCACGTGCTGATACCGTACTGTACCATGATGGAGCTGAGGCAAGACATACCCGTTACCTTCACACCTCTCCCCACAGGTACAAATCTTCTTATTTTTTTATTACCTTTTTTTTATTTTCATCGCATCATATGCTCCTTCCTTACATTCCGCATTTCTAAAAATATCGCCAGAGCAACCCAGTATGCGTTCTTTGTTAGGCAACTGCACTTCTAAATGGTGCCTCTAACACGGTGAACCTCTATGCACACATGACGTTAATATATGATGATCAACTATCTAACTAAATCCCTCGACAGCAATTGTATCCAACGGACACACCAGGGTTCTCAGTCAATACCAACATCACAAGGGCAGTTTCTTCTCATATTCATCACCATCGCTAGCCCTGGCAACTGACCCATCACGTATTTATAAAACTTGTTCTATTTATTTCAAATAATGTTGTGGTGAGTTCGACAAAAGTTATCCTACATTGGGCGAGTTAACATTAGTTAAGTGCATTTTCAACCAGCTGAATCTTTGAAAACACTTCTATATAAAATATATCGAGAAGTTGGAGGACATATTAAGTCTATGCTGGTTAGGTTGGTCACTACGGAACATGTTAGGATAAATAAATTTTCTATAAAAAAGTTTATTAAAATCACTCCACCATCGGAAATATAGCGCTCGATTACCGGGCAACTGACAGTCCAGTCCCCTATTGTCAGTGTCACTTTGTACACACTGTCAACTGTCACTGGTGCCTGACCTTGAGTTTCGGTACAGCAATACAGGGAGGCAGTTGACATCCTACTTATTTTTTTTTAGTTCAACAAATATTGAGCCACTGTAGAATATATTTGGGAGAATACCCACAAGTCTCTGAAGCTTGTAAACCACAACTGTTTCAAGGATAAACAATATACCTGTCTACTTCTGTGTGTGTAAAGATGTTCAGCAGCACACACAGCAGGTGTCAATGAGTCCACAATATAGCCGTCGGGGGATCGGTGGTAGAAGCGGTACCGTTCTTGCCTCGCAAGCGAGATGTCCCGGGTTCGATTCCCGGGCCGGTGGAAGTTGTTTGGACTTACTTCCTAGCCCCCATTAGTCCCTGTTCACCTAACAGTAAAGTAGGTACCTGGTGTAAGTCGAAAGTTGCGAATTCGTATTCAGGGACAAGTTGTTGGAGCTTCCAATAACTTGAGGACATAAACCACTGACTCTTCAGGCTTCTATACCCTTGACTCTTCAGGCTTCTAAGCCCTTAACTCATGAGACATAAAGGCAAGCATGAACTTAGCATGCTTCCCTGTTGGGTGCTGTAAACGCTTCTGCGCTTCACCTTACACAATGATGTAGGGGAGTGCCCAATAAAAAAAAAATATATATATATATATATATATATATATATATATATATATATATATATATATATATATATATATATATATATATATATATATATATATATATATATATATATATATATATATATATATATATATATATAATGTATATATATATGTATATATATATATATATATTTCATGTAAATCCATTCTCTCCCCCTGATAAGTGAGTGTACAATACTCGTGTGTGCCAATGTTAGTGTTCATAATTATAATGTTAACAGTTCTTACTTACGTTCATGACCATTCCGGGACACCTGTCACTCGGCACAGATGGATATCCTAACCATGAACATTGATTTCATTTATAAACACTATAGTGGAAATAACAACTCGCCTACAAGCATCACCAGCTCACTTACCTCAGCTATAAAAATCAGAAACATTTATCTAACGTCCCATCACTTTCTCGCCGCACTAAGCTATGTACAACTGCAACTAAAATTCCCCGACACTTGGCAACATGTGACTGATTATTAAAGCTCGTGAATGATGCTTCTCATAAAAAATATGCTTGAATAACATGATAAAGAAAGTAAAAAGAAGTTGAAATTCCAGTCCACATTACCTGCTTGACCCTCCAGGAGATGCCGGATAATGCCATTGTGTCGGGGAGTTTTATCCTAAACTGTACATGTTGCAAAGTTGATTGGATCACCTGATGATTGCTCAAGCCCCGACAGCAAGAATCATACCCAAGCTTAATCCACCTGGAGATTAACCATCCCAACGCTACCTGGGATTAGGTTAACGATAGTGATTAAGTTCCAGGTGAAATAAGTTGAGGGCGAGAATCGTCAAGAGTTCTATTTCTGATAATACTGTATTAATCTGGGGCCGTTAAGTACTAGCGCTACAGTAGAGACTAGAACGCTGCTATACCTGTCATAAAGAGGCCCAGATGATATAACACTGGTATAAGCGCATGATGGTAATGTTCTAACGTTTTAATGACTGATATGTTATTGATCTGTTCATACATGATGCTGTGGTGGTGGGGCTCACCGTGAGTGGTGGTGATGGTTGTGGTGGGCGTGGGTGACGGTCTCGAGGAAGTCAGCGAGGGAGAAGACAGCGAGGCGTGTGACAGGGGAGATGCCGGGGCCAGCATCATCCTCGCTACTGATGAAGATCTCGGGGATGGAGGAGGTGGACGGAGAGCGCACCAAGACGGGCGTGTTAGGCCGGGTGTGGGCGTGCACCTGGTCATGGTTACGGGAATGTCTGGATGGGGAGCCGCTGCGGTAGTGGGGGTTAAGGGTGGCCAGGTCGGCCACTTGGTCCCGCTTGTTCAGGCCACATTCACTCTTGGAGCGACGGTGACCCCCCGGACCCGCCAACTCCGGCAGCCCGCCCAAACTTAGCATGGCGGCCGTGGCCACACTGCCCTCCAGAAGGTGCAGGTGTGGCAAAACACAGTGCGAGGGTGTGGGCGGCTGAGCACTTTAGCAGCCGCCCCCAGTAAAGCCATCACACAAGAGACACGACCACCCGTACTGTCTACTAACGCAATCTTCTCATGTTAGTTTCATTACACTTTGGGCGACGTTCAACTACACCCGCTACTAAGGTTAACCAGGCGGGTGTACCAACATCATCCACATGAAGTCAAGTTCAGGAAGAGTACAGTTGTGAGCGGCACCTACCTGCAGCTACACATGAGCCTGTCTCGCCCTGTAATGACAGGTAGTTCACGCACCTCCAATATCTCCTTTGTCAACCTTTTACAATTCTGGGTTATCTTTGTGTAAGCACCTAATCGCGGCCACTGATTACGTCTAGTCATGGTTGGGGGGACTGCCATAACAGCCTCATGACTGTGTCGCCTTAGTATTTCATGTTCTACAGCTTACACGCACATACACAAATATATATGGATACATACATACAGTAACATATATATAGATATATACATTCATACATACTGTACACAAATCAATATGAACGCACATACGAACACAAACCTATACACATATATACACAAGTGTACAGTGACACACATACACATTATAATTCACACACAAGCAAACAATACGCACAGAAAATAAAATCAATATATATTATCATCTCTGGGATTTTACAAGCTTTCAGATATGAAATAAAGAATATTACCGAACAACACGCAGAATGAATCATGGCTCACACGTCACCGTTGAGTAACAGGCGTTGCTGATAGCTGAGGGTGATAGTGGTGGGGTGATGGTGGTGGGGTGATGGTGATGATGGTGGTGGGGTAATGGAAGTGATGGTGGTGGGGTGATGGTGATGATGGTGGTGGGGTAATGGGAGTGATGGTGAATGGCGGTGGCAATATAGTGACGACAGTGGATTCAATTACAAGAGGAGAAAAATAAAGTTGGAAGGAGGAGGAAAGGAAGACTGTTAGGTTGAGAAGATAATACTCCAAGGTGAGGTGAGGGAGCCACTGTTATATAAGGGGGAGGGGTGTGATAAAGAGATCGGCTAGTATGTTGTCATTGTTATCAGATACTAAGGCAGTAAACTCTGGAGTGAAATTAATTCCGCTCTCTGGGTCAAGAAGTGATGTGGGTAAGCCTGGCAGTATGACATCAGAGAGAGAGAGAGAGAGAGAGAGAGAGAGAGAGAGAGAGAGAGAGAGAGAGTGTGTGTGTGTGTGTGTGTGTGTGTGTGTGTGTGTGTGTTAATGGCTTTCGGTCTACACATTATATGACTGTGTGAAGGAAAGAAACATCAAATCTTGTGTTTGTTTGGCAAAAAATAATATTCGTTTTTCTTTTCACATACCCGACACAGCTGATATGTCACAACACTGATTAATGAAGGAAATAACGATTAAACTAACACAAAGCCCTGCCAACATAGAAATCACTAACACTCAATTTTCCTCCGTCAGTGAGAGAGAGTGAACCAGTCAAGCAACCGAGCGACGTATGGGGCTATTAACTAATACTGTACAAGGAACGAAAATATCTAACATCATCAACACTGGTACAATAGTCTCTCCTCACCCCTATTAAATGACTGACACACACACACTGACTACACTACCCTCACCGAAGATCAACACAAACACATTAATTATTTATAGCCCTCACCCTAACCCCAGCCCTGAACACCTACATAATAACAGTAAATTACCTGGAATATTAAGACCCAAAGGACGGTTGGACGTCACTCAACACTCCTTCTTCCTCTCTACTGTACCAAGACCCAGTGAATGTTTTGTCCAGAAATCGACATTTTTCCAGCTACTTGGTGTCAATAATCACCATCCTTCACGGGGGTTTGCACGCTCTCTAGTGGAACTTTAAGTCAACCTCATCGAAAATCAATGACTATAACCATTATCCACTTGAAACTTACGAGTGCATGCCATTGACGGAGCTTTCCTAAATCGACGACGTACACAAGACCACTGAGTTGTAAACGTCTGCAGGTTATGCTAGGTTAGGTCAAGTCATGTTAGGTTACGTCAGGTTACGTTAGGTTATGTTAGGTTACGTTAGGTTATGTTAGGTTACGTTAGGTTATGTTAGGGTACGTCAGGTTGTTAGGTTACGTCAAGTCATGTTAGGTTACGTCAAGTCATGTTAGGTTACGTCAAGTCATGTTACGCTACGTCAGGTCATGTTAAGTTACGTCAGGTCAGGTCATGTTAGGTTACGTCAGGTCATGTTAGGTTACGTCAGGTCAGGTCATGTTAGGTTACGTCAGGTCTGGTCATGTTAGGTTACGTCAGGTCTGGTCATGTTAGGTTACGTCAGGTCTGGTCATGTTAGGTTACGTCAGGTCTGGTCATGTTTGGTTACGTCAGGTCTGGTCATGTTTGGTTACGTCAGGTCTGGTCATGTTAGGTTACGTCAGGTCAGGGCATGTTAGGTTACGTCAGGTCTGGTCATGTTAGGTTACGTCAGGTCTGGTCAGGTTACGTCAGGTCTGGTCATGTTAGGTTAGGTCGTCAGGTCTGGTCATGTTAGGTTAGGTCTGGTCGTGTTAGGTTACGTCAGGTCTGGTCATGTTAGGTACGTCAACGTCGTCAGGTCATGTTAGGGTTACGTCAGGTCAGGTCATGTTAGGTTACGTCAGGTCAGGTCATGTTAGGGTCTCAGGTCTGGTCATGTTAGGTTACGCTATTTGGTTAGCGTCAGGTCGTCGCGTTGGGTTACGGTCAGGTCATGTTAGGTTACGTCAGGTCAGGTCATGTTAGGTTACGTCAGGTCAGGTCATGTTAGGTTACGTCAGGTCATGTTAGGTTACGTCAGGTCATGTTAGGTTACGTCAGGTCTGGTCGTGTTTGGTTACGTCAGGTTATGTTAGGTTAAGCTAGATCTGGTGCCAGATAAATGAGTAATTATACGTGTCCTGTTAAAACATTATTATAATTTGAAAAGTTCGACAGCTTAGGTTACTGTTGATTTAATTCACGCTGATATCAAATACGAGAGATGTAACACGACCAAGCTAATCTCAGTCTATGATACAATACAAGAAAGGCCAATAAACACGTAGATAACAGGAATAACACCCACACACATCCGCTGGAGGTGAGGCAGACTACAGTATCATAAGTACCTCAACATAATACACTGCTCGCTCACACCTACTACAGATGACCTACATGGTGCCTTATATGTCACTAAAGGACAGAAACTCAACCACCAGGAAATGACTAAAAATGACCAGTTATAAAACTTTTGTAATGAATAATTTAGTTAGGAGGTATTTTGGCGTGGCTCTTATAAGGAACTACAGAACTGATGAAAACTGAACCTGACTATTATTTAACTTTGTATGTTTATGATAATATAATGTAAAACCTACATAACTAGATCAGATAAACGGTGCAGTGATTGGCTCAGGTGGTGGTGATGTGTACAAATGGTCCTGATCAATACCCACTTCCTTTACGTAATTGACGGTACATTACACTTCAAGCATAAAAAGCGGTGGTACTTGTGTAATGAAACGGATTAAATAATCGTTCAATATCGGGATAATTACAACACGATTTAGCCCCTTCTTACACCCACATCAGCCCCACAATAATAATCAATAGCTCCACATACTAACAAGCACACGTCCCCTGGCCCAACCAATCAGATTTCTCAATAAATCGACACAAGCAATAACAGTTCAACAGCCAGGAATTCTCTCGTTTGAAGTTGGTATATATAAATATTAAAAAAAAAATCAAGTTCCCTTAGTGATTTTATACATGTTGAGTCGAGTCTTATAAACATCAACTCAAAACACCAAAATGATCTTTAGAAACGTGATAAGAATGGTGTGTGTGTGTGTGTGCGCTGACCACCACTCTCCCGGGTAACACCTACACACCACCTCCCCCTACACACCACCTCCCCCTACACACCACCTCCCCCTACACCTACACACACCTCGAGCTCTGTGTTGTCTAATTCTTTATTCTCTACTTTATGTATAATATAATAGTATACTTAGTGGTAAAAATAATATAATAAATAAGACTAACGAGAAACTAGAACTAATAATAACGAGAAATATAAACAGTGTGTGAGACTATTTTGAAGTTCAACCTGATTTACATATTAGGACTGGACCCTTAACACTAATGGCTAGGATGGTTAGGTTAGGTCTTGGGTGTGAGTGGTGGGAATGGCAGGGGAGGTGTTGGGTTAGGTTAGAAATGAACTTAGGAACCAATACGATTAAAGAACTCTTAAGTATTTTCCCCTCGTCTCAGTAAATATTAAAATAAGACTTGTATTTACAGCAGGTGTTCAATAGTACAACATACAACCTGTCAAGAACCTTCCCTCAGTAATAATGGCCAGTGTTGTCCAGTATAAACATTTAAACACTTTCCACGACTGTCGTTCATGGCCCCCACAGGTCAGGCTGTCTTAGAGGTAAACAAATAAGGTGTGAGGCGGCAGGTAGTATATTATTTATGTCTAACTGCTGTCAGATAGTCAAAACGAAGGCATTACAAGGTTCCCCCGGCTGTCTAGTGAGTGAACAGGCGGGCAGGAAGAAAAGAAAACAGCCTGGTTTGACCGGGCAGAGCCAACAGCCTGGTGGTGGTGGACATGTAATCAACAGTATGGTGCCTTCCCTGCCTTTACCCACCTTAGGTTTACTCCCATGGTACCACAAACGCCCAACAACTAGTGCCAAAACAGACTGACTCACTCACAGGAAACACACCTCCACCACTGTTAACGCCGCGACGATAATCTAGCCTCGTTTAGAAGGATTTAAAGTTAGGTTTAAGACCATTTCGATCCTAAAGGGCTCTAATTACCACCACGACGCCACAAAACCCCTTGACGCTATCCCACCGCCCTGGAGTCTGCTTTAAATCCTGTGAATTTTAAAAGGTGAACATGTGGGGAAGGCAGCACTTGTGACCACTGCAAGGCTCCACCTAGTTCACCCCCTTAAACGACCCTTCAAGACGATAGACTCACTCACCATGCTTCATACCTTATACCTATAGGGCCATGGTATATTTTGACCTCGACTCTGCTACAGGTCTTCATTTAACACGTGAGATGCCTTCACTCCATGCACTAACTGTGGTTTTATCACTACTGTGGCTCTCGATCCTATTAACGTAATGGTCCTGTCTTATCCTCACGCACTTCCTCCAATAGTAAATAAAAAATATGATGCGTCTGTGTCCTGCCTCGATTTACTCTCTCCCCCGCATACACCAGTTTATAAGTCATTTCTGGAACTCTGAGGTGACACAATACAAGAGATGGTTAATAGTTTGTCCCTGTAGGAAGAATATCACGAATTATGCCAAGTGTGAGCTAAGGTAACCCCGGGGTCTGGGTACAACAGCTAGCCTGGGTTGGGGAGGTCTCTCTCTCTCTCTCTCTCTCTCTCTCTCTCTCTCTCTCTCTCTCTCTCCAACTCAATGAATTTGTGTACAGTTGTTTATATATCCCCTTAATGATTCATAGTTGACATGACACAGCTGATTTTATGCCACACAGAAAGACCATTAATTAGCGCCTTCCCCACACATAGCGACTTTAAACTGTGTCCTACCACCTCTGAATACCTTAACTGACCACATCACTCGGTCTCGCATCCAAAATGTAAAAAAATCGCAAATACTTGACGCACGACAGTCACCGCGAATTAGTCAAAGGCGTGACACACCGTATCACGTTGTATTATCTGGGTCAGGCTCTTACACAGGCACCGCCCACGACCGTGCTTTAGCGTTAATTTAGCTACCAGTCTGTCATTAAGGGGACCAGTCGCGGGTCGCTGTAATCTGGGAATTCATGTGTGTATCAGGGAAGAGGTGACGCAGCACTAAGTCGGGTGTGTCTGAGGAACAAGGGGACACGCTGGAAAATTATCAGCATCTCTTGGGCAATGTAAAGAAGCCAAGTTCATCAACACCTTCAGGTCACTTTCACCAACACCAGCAGACCGACATCATCAACAACAACAACAGAGAATCAGTATCAACACATGTGGGCCAATACCTGAGGCTGGGAGGCAAGTGGGCGGGTAGACGCATCCAGGGTACAGATCTATCAACACCGAGGCTCCCGGGTGAGTCACACACACACTTCCTTACAGCTTCACGAAAGTTATCCAAAAGTAAGTCAGGTCGCAGCGAAACAAGTCAAGTCGTCATGCAGCAAGTCTGACCAAATTACCGTATACAAGATCATGTTAGGATAAAACAGAACTAGTCAGGGTAGAACAATTCAGGTACCTGTACACCAGATCTAGGCAAGTCAGTCACCAAACAACAGGTCAGATAATAACAACAGATCTAGTCAAATGTAAGAGGTCACGTCACCACGGAGGGCCAACGATAACTATGTCCGTCAATGAGAGGCGAAACCCGAAGAAGCCCGACACTCCATGGCACTGTAACACCCGGCACCTCCACCACGAACTATCACCGACAGTCTTACACCAAACAAGGCCCTCACCACGACCATCTCACCACCACGACCATCTCATCACCACGACCATCTCACCACCACCAACAACGACGACGATGATTATATACAACAACAACAACAACCATCAACAACAGTATACAGAGCCATGGTGATTATAACACTGAAATGGCAACCCTTGGGACCCTGGAATCGTATCCTACCAGAGGGGGCAGCGCCACACTCGTATCCTGTTACACATTAAAATCACATGATGTAGAAACCTTAAAGTGTTCGTAAATATCTCCACACATGACACCAGTCGTAAATGAAATAAACTAAAAAAAAAATTAATTCAATCTACACCGCCATTGTTTGTGTCAGTTAAAAGTGTCTATATGGTGCGTGTGTGTGTTTTAAGTGTCCAACTCCTCCTCTTTGTTCACACGGAAAAGATGAACCAGCTATTCTACTTAAGGGTTAAGTATATGCACTAGTGTGTATCTGGCTTTGTTCGTCCATATAAATATTCTCTCTCTCTCTCACACACACAAGGAATCATACATGTATGAACTACACCGGTACAGCAGTAAATACAACACGACGTTCACTGACAGCAACATCTACAACACACGTCTGACTCATGGTGATGGCTAAGTGATGGTTCCCGTCCACTGCTGCAGTAAACACAAATACCTACGTCACTAACAAGCCCTGTAGCAGCTGATGGTGATACATGTCGTGAGTTACTCCACACACTGGGACAATGGAGGGCCAGAGAACGTACACTGAAGGAATTCGTGCTTATTAGAATCTAAAACTGGGAAAAGAATGTGTACTAATGTCAGACTGGCTGGTATGGAGACGATGGGGGGTATTTTTTGTCTAGAGGAAAGGAAATTAAAGCCGCCGTCAGCTGAGAACAGTAAAGAGGAATTACTCGATGCAATTAATAGAATGAGTCGAGTGGTTTTAGACTGACCTGATTTCAAAAGGATGTCTATTCCCAGAAACCCATTAGGTCAACCGGGTGAATACTACACCCTGTACACTCTCTAACACCTACACTTCCGTCTAGTCCCCTACACCTTAGCACCAGCGTTACTCCACATCCACCCATACTTACCAACACCGCCCACAACATAAAATTATCTCCCGTTCTCTCTCAAGCCATCTACACACCCCCATCTTTCCTCTTCCACCCACATTCCCTCCCAACTGTCAGGAGGAGATCAGGACATAAGATAGGTCCAGGCACCACCCCCCAGCTCTGACTCCGTTATGTTTCTGTGGTTCGCAGGATGAGCTTGAGGGAGCGAGGCATGACGAAAGCAAACAACAGGTCTCATATATCAATATTGCCCGGTGCTCTGATAGCCAGCAACACTAACAGTAATTACGGCTTTTCAGGAAAAATTGTGGCGGAAGAACTCTCTCTCTCTCTCTCTCTCTCTCTCTCTTAAACCTTAGCTGGGTAGGTGACTCAAGAGATGAAAGAGACAAGGTGTAATTTGAAAGTACATTTAAACCTTGGCATATTCCCCCTTGCCGGCTGAACATGTCCTGGATATAATGATTAACTAAGGACAAATATTAATACCTAACATAACCCCACGACTGGCCAGCAAGGTTAACGTGAATGATGGTATAAGTACCTTTGACCCTACCGTACCATTCCTAACCACTGCCCATCACACACTGCTGAACCCTCGAGTCACACCACTCCCTCCTCAAAACACACACACACACACACACCTACACTGTAAATATACATGCAAGCCAGAGTGAGGTAGAGACACTGTTAGATAAAGGTCACAGTGGGAGGTGACTAGACTAGACGACACGTAGTACAAAAACCAAGGATGATCAGCTGGGCAGTTCTCAGTTGATAAATACCGCAGCTGCCCACAACACCTGAGTAACCCCGATACTAACACTATCTATGATTTCATTTGCATTTTATCATCTTTTTGGCGTATTTTCTATCCATTTCTTATTTAGTTTGTCACTACACTTATGACACGAGTTTTTAAACACTACCCACTGTGTTAAGAAGTGAAATAGAATCACAAAAACACACACACACACTGCCTAAGCACCACATGGTACCTCGGCCGTGCTTAACTTTAATTAACTTGTGGGCAAAAATTATATATATCCGCTCCTCATAGACTTTTTTTTTTCCAATACTACACGAACACCTGCACTGTGGTGAGGGCTGAGGGGACGCTAGACCATTACAGACGTGAACACTGGCGGGGAGGCGAGGTAGAGTGAGTGCGTGTTGTTCTGCCACCACTGTCAGACTGTGACTGTCTCCACAACAACTACCCGCACCTACCACTCTCTCACACCCTCCCTCTCTCCCTGACCCCCTTCCCCTCCCTCCCTCGTCCTGCAACCTTACTCCCTTCCTTCCTCTTTGTCTACCTTTCTCTCTTTTTCTCACCCTCCATCTAGCCTCTCCCTCCCTCCCTTTATCCATTTATTTTTCATTTTCCTTGTTTCTTTCACCATCGTTACACCGACTTACCCCGGGACACAATATTACTCGTACAGGAGCAGACCGATGACGTTAGATCACACAGTTCTCGTTCAGGGGGGGGAAGAGGTAAAGGCTCGGCCGTCTTGCACCTTATTGCACCATTAAGCTACCCGTGTTAGTGCTAGCTAAGCCATATTGGTTCACGGTGCAGTAAAACAGTTGTACGGCCTGACCATATTAGTTATTTCCGGCCACACTGGTTTATCTTTGGCCATACTGGTCCACTGTCTGGCATCTTAGACCTCAAAGCTGACCCCAAAACCGACCAACTCACAATCTTTTCTTGCAATTCCAGTTCCTCTTTTCAACGGTGGTTCTTAACACACCTGAACACAAAAAATATCGACAAAGAAAACAAATCTATGAGACACTACCTTAACTAGACAATAATTATGATCACTTAATTCCAGTTACAAGATCAACTTACTGTGATACATCTGTGGCCTAAAGAAGTTCTTCATTATTTACGTCCGGTGCTCAAGTGACGACGGCAAGTAGTCAAGGTAGTATGATTATGACAATGTTTTTAGGACGCTCGCTCACACACCTCCATTGGCGAAGGTGATAATCTAATTTGCCTGAGTCCGTAGTTACGGCACCAAAAGCGGGAACTTTAGTGAGTCAGTTTAATCGTTAGTCCAACACGAGGGAGACACTAACGAGAGAGAGTAGGAATAATGAGGAAGTGTTGTGTTGAGAATGGCTGGGTGTAGGAGTGTCGAGTTACCTGTCGTTCCATTGGCCCGAGGTGTACTGTAGGGTTGGGAGGGGCAGGTGAGTGAGCAGTGACCTTGGAGGTTCAGCCGTTCACAAACCCACTGCTTACGTCAGACGAGAAATATCCAATAGTACTGGCCACTCGACCCCTGCGCCTCTCCTTGGCCACTCGACCCCTGCGCCTCTCCTCACCTTTCCATCCAGAAATTTACAGGTAATAACCACACACACACACACACACACACACACACACACACACACACACACAGCCACCAATTCATTATAATCAACATTACTCATCCGTCTCTAACTAGTAACATATTTACTTAACTACAACCTACACCTCCCTACCACAAACACCTCACAACACAACCATTACATAACACCTTCCTAGGGATGGTTTAATTAGCTTTGTATCTCCCGTAACGCCACACCTGTGTCTTGGCGGGCGCGTGAGCCTCAGAATCAGTCTTATGAGCCATCCTGGGAGCTCCGGATACTGTCTCTGGAACTAATATCCGTGAACCCGAAGCCTCTCCTGCACCTGGCTCAGAAGACGACCCCCCCCCCCGACTTCAGGTAAACAGAGTCGGCCATATTAAGCTACAGTAACTACGCAGTAATATCGTCCTAATCTTCACTACCTAAAAAAAAAAAAATACGAAAATTATATCCGATAAGCCACTCTATACAGTACAGTACTACAGCTTAAGTCATCAGAAGTGGTGATTTAGTCTGACACCACCAGCAGGAGGAACCGTAGCAGGTGTGGGTTCTCTCCTGCAGGAATCATCAAACGAACTGGTAACACGAGTTTATCAAGAGCTCGTGACGTCATAGAGCAGTTAGTTACTTGACTGATAATGACGAGATCAGTAGTTTTTGTTTAGAATTCTCGACATGACGACATTATTCACTATGTAACCAGGATATGACGTCATTAATCTACCACACGCCGGGTATGACGCCATCATTCAGTATGGTGTATGACGTTATCGTCCACTACACCCTCGGGTATGACGTCATCAATCTACCACACGCCGGCTATGACGTCATCAAACCTCCTCCCTACCTTTATGGTGTTAGTTCATCCATAAACAAACACGCTAAAGCAGAACTACGAAGCCGTGCTTACATTTTCAGACACAGAGTTACTGTATATAAAACGACAAAAGCATTACTCCCTCTCGTCTGAAATTATTATTATTATTATTTTTATTATTATTATTGTTATTATTATTATTATTATTATCACCTACCAGAGAGGGACTGTAATGTTTACAAACACACTATTGATCCCACCACGGTCAATACACACTCAGGCAGGGCAGGTGTAATGTGTCAAGGAGGTATCGGTAAGCCACCAACACATTGACCATCGCATACGTTACTGGTATAGTACCGATATCCTCTCCCTACACCGCCGTCAGTACCGTACCGATATCCTACACCGCCGTCAGTACCGTACCGATATCACCTACACACGTCAGTACCGTACCGATATCCTCCTACACCGCCGTCAGTACCGTACCGATATCCTCTCCTACACCGCCGTCAGTACCGTACCGATATCCTCCTACACCGCCGTCAGTACCGTACCGATATCCTCTCCTACACCGCCGTCGTCAGAAGTCAACTTTGTCATCACCACTCACAATTATTCACGGTCATTTCTCGACTGTCTGACGGAGGAAAATTACCGTCAGGAGAATACATAGGAACGGTGTGTGTGTGTGTGTTTTGTCATAAGCTGTATATAGTTACCTTTCCATCCTCGTGCATCACATGGTAAAGACATATCCTCCAGTAAACAAAAAAATAAACAGAATCGCATTGAAAGCTATTGTACATTTGCAAGGACCATCACAATCGTAAACAATGACATAACAAAAATAAAATAAAAATTAATAAAATACAAATCCTAGTACAAAGAAAATATGAAACATTATAAACACAACGAGAAATGCAATATAAAATAAATCCCAAAGAGAGGAAAAAGTTGTGTGTACGGAATTAATTTAACGCGACTATCCCCCCCCCCCACGGGAATGCGACCCCTGATATGGTTAATTAATTTCCCCCCCAAAATATTCAGTAATTGCAAGAGAAGAGAAGAGAAGAGATATTCAGTGAGCAAACTACTTTAGTAAATCTTAAAGCTGTGCTGTAGGAGTAAGGCACAGGTGGGTGGGTGGCAGTCAGCCTGGTACACTGACCACACCACTACCCATACCATGACAACACTAGCCACACCATAACACTAGCCACACCATACTACCTACGCCACACTGCCAATTAATTCCTCGTAAACATTTCCCGTTGTGTTGTTGTTGTTGTTGTTATAAGGTAGATATTTAATTGGTCGTTTATTTATTTCAATGAATTTTTTGGGAGTTATGATTAGTATTGACATTATCATATTAGTACTATCATTGTCATCATCATCTCTATTATGGTCATTTTCACCATCATTATCATCATCACACGATATTCAACTATCATCATCTGTGACCACCACCATCACACTATCAGCAAATGACTACCAACACACCCCCCCACGATATCACTAGCCACTGTACTGACCACCTGTAGTTAACACGCTCGTTAGGGGATACTCACTACCAATATCAAATAAAAATCACACTATATAAATAATTTCGATTTATATATGTTAAAACTATACTAATCTATAAACATTATTAAAAACAGAAAAATCAGTATATTATTTTTTTTTTCATTTACGTCACCACATTTCGATACCGGGACAAATTTTCACTTGAATTCCTGCAGCCAGACTCGTTACTGCCGACCTAAGGGATGGTCTTACGAACGGCGACCAATTTAAGAGACAACCAAACTACCAAACTGAGATTATGAGGCGGCAGACACCACTTTCCCCACCCAAGTTTCAACCCAGGATCCAAGTTTTCTCAAGCGACGATTCCCAATGACACAGGCGGCTATTATTATTTTTTTTTTTTAGGTTCATATCAGGAGTTTAATGTTTGGACCGTGTTAAGGTGTGTGTGTGTGTTTGAGGTTAGGTTAGGTTTCAACTCTGACCCTTTACAGCACCGAGGCCAAATGTAGCGTCTATATATTAAAAGCAGGTTTATAAATATGTACCTTAAACACACTACGTTTCCCCCAGAGATAAACCTTGACATAAAACAAGAGTGAGGTTTGATTTCCGGAGGTTGGTCATCACACCGCACCTCCTATCACAGTCACAATGTTATGGTGGTATTAATAGTATCAATAGCTAAAATAAATAATAGCAAAAATAGCTGAAGTAAATAATAGCATAAATAGCTTTATTAATTAATAGTATCAATAGCTAAAGTAAATAATAACACAAATATCTAAAGTAATTAATAGTATAAATAGCTTAAGTCGACGGTCCACAATGACAAGAGCAATCAATGAATACAAAAAGATGGAGTTAGTGTGTCTGATGAGTGAATAGAAATTGCATCAGGAACTCAGGTGTTTCTCCACATAACACCTGAGACTAACTAACAATACCGTGCATGTTGGCCACACACACCCACACCCTTGTCCAGGAATGTTAGAGCGTGACAGTTTACAGTGTTGTGGGTCACCTGTATCACCCCAACACTGTCTTACAAAATTACTAATTAAAACCTGACCTAACCTAACCTGACCTGACCTAACGTGACCTGACCTAACGTGACCTGACCTAACCTAACGTGACCTGACCTAACGTGACCTAACCTAACGTGACCTAACCTAACGTGACCTGACCTAACCTGACCTGACCTGACCTAACGTGACCTAACCTAACGTGACCTGACCTAACCTGACCTGACCTAACCTGACCTAACTTAACTTAGATAACTTATGACATCACACACTTGCTACACCATACTACAGGCTGAAACAGGTCCTCCAGCCTACCCGCGTTAACCTTCTTCCTCTGACACAAACAACACAAAACAGGTTAATTAAGTCCTACTGTGCGTCATAACCAGACAGTCTGTAAACACGATCAATACGTGACTCGGTA